AATCGATTACTCTTTGAAGGCGGTGGGCCTGCGCCAACTTGGCTATCAGCAACTCGACCATCTGCGGGGATCGGTGTGGTCAACGCTCAAAAAGCTTTCCACGATTCCTGCTGTCGCGGATCGACCCTCGACGTTTGCTACTTGCTGCCGTTGCGAGGATCGGCGTGATCGACGTCCAAAAGCTGAGGATGTGTTGCACTTTTTGCGGTACGCGCGCGGTTTGCGGTTCGTGCGCGACCCTCTGCGGGGCTCGCACCAAATGCTAGTCGGCACACGGGTTTGAAAGTTGCTTGCCTCGTGGCTTGCGCGGCGGCTGGCCCAAGGCTCTAACCCCGCTTTGTTTCCGCAGAATCTAAGTTACGAACCCAGTGATGCAAAAGCATTCCGCGAAGTGCGCTTTTGCAGCTCCGGCAGGAAAATCGCAACTTGAACTACCAAAGTATCACGGGAAGTAAAGGTTGAAACAACTCGCGTCGCGTCCGCGGATTTTTTCGTGGGTCCAGCCATCGCTGCGTCGGCCAGAGCCATGTAAACGGCCCACGCACAGGCAGCTAACAATCCAAAACCTTCTAAAATGCGCGTAAACAATGCACCCATTTTGTGGTCGATCTCGTGCATTTTAGAAAATTGGTCTAGACGGGGATACACGTTCACAGGTCCGAATCGACAATTGTACTCGCGTCGAAAGGTTGCCGTGCTATGGTCAGCGCTGCACGCATAGAATTTGCACAGAAAACTTGCTCAAAGAAGCTTGTTCAGTTAAACTTGCTGGGAGAACTTGCTGGAGCTGTCGCCGAAAGTGTCTCAGGTAACTTGCGCAAGAACTTTGCGGCGGCAACTTGCACTAGCAATCTGCATTAGCGAGTTACTCAGGGAAGATGCGCTAGGAAGTTGCGTGAACGAGGCTGCCGGCGCGCTGCTAATGATTTCGGGCCGCCCATCTTCTAGTTTGGCGTGTTTGTTCGAGAAACCGAAAGGAAAACCCATGCCATTTTGGAGGTCTCCTAAAAAAGACACACCCCTTTGTGCATCTTACATGGAGAGGTGACATGTCAGGGCCGTCCGATCACGGAGAGGACGAGTACAGTAACGTGCCCGCTATGCCGGCACAGAAGATTGACCCTGCATCTAAAGCGCCCAAATTCGGGCCAGTGTCGAAGCCAGAGCTCCTCTTCCTCCTTCTCCTCCTCATCCTTTGACTCCACCCATTCTCCGGCAATGAGCTCGAAGACTTTCTCGTCATCCATGTCCTCCTATCCAATTGTTTTTTTTTCTTGGTGTTGCTCACCTCTGAGCAAGGTCGGTGCTTCTCGTTGCTGCCAAAGATCCAAGGACTTTGCTGCATCCACAAACTTCTGTCCACCCATCAGTCGCAGAAATTTCAGCCGATCCTGCAAGCGCCGCTTTGCACACAAATCTCTTGGGATCTCTTGGGATTGAAAGCTCTGACTGCCTTGGATGATTGGAACTGGCTGCTCTCCCAGCCATTTGCAGTCAGCCTCCAAAACGGAGCAACTTGCTCGGCAGCTGCCACATTACTCAAAAATGTTCACGCGACCAAGCCTGCCATCTCGAGCTTCGCAAGGCTTGTCGTCTGGTTCGGGGGCAGCACCAAGGCTCCACAAGGCCTCTTGCACGGCTTGAAACGTCGTGAACCGTTTTCACTCCACGTCCGTCAGCCACGTCAGCCCAGCCTTTCGCTTCTCTCTCTCAGCCAATCTCTGCTGCTCGGCAACCTCTTGCAGTTGAGGGTCTGCTCCCAAGCGCTGCCTCAGAGAATTCGGAGAAGCGGCGGCCTAAACAAAGTTGAAATACTCCACACATGTGGGGTACGGCTCAATTTGTTCAGAGCTGGGGCAAACCGGAGGCTTTAGTCCTTGGTTCCATTTACCAAGGTGCCACTTTGGTACCACTTTTTTGAGCCACAGCCATGTCAGCCAAGTTGCTGCTCTGCCCGCAGAAGATTTTGCTGCACGGCCATCTGGCCCCGCTCCACCATATCTTGCAGATAAGCTTGCTGCATCAGCGGAGATCTTTGCTCAGGCTGACTCGTAATCGAACTCACAGGCAAAATTGAAGGGATTGCGCCCAGGGCTGCAGTTGCAGGTTGGCTCTCTGCACCCAAGCTGGAGAGGAATGTTTCCTGCACTGGATGCTGGGGCACCAAATACGTGAGTGCTCAGAGTCCTCCGGAGGTGGCGGAGGCAAAGAATCGTCGCTAGGTGCGGGATCTAGCCGGAAAGAGGGTTGGCTGCGCAGTCGCGCCAGGATGCTGTGCTTCACCTGGCGTGTCTGACACAGCCCATGTCCTAAGTGCATTGTCCTTTGACCTTTGCCTTCACCATCTTTGCAGCTCGCACGGCTGGCGGCAAGTTCTGCAGCGCAGCATCCGCCAACACCTTCTGCAACCCAGGCCAATAAAACTACGAACTCAGTCAATCCTTGGTAACATGCCGCTCCTGCGCTCGTTCTTCGAGCTCAGGCGATGAAACTGCTCTCTCAGTGATGGGAGGGGCCTGAGCACACTTTCAGACTTCTATCATTGTCCAAACACCACGCATGCTCGCCTCTGCTTGCTTGGAAGTTGTAGTAGTGCTCTTTGCACTTGACACAACTTGCAAGTCATCTGAAGCCTGGCAACAGTCTCCAGGATTCGAAGAAACTGACATCATTTCAAGGGCCTCCTCATCTGAGGACAAGCAGAAGGCCCCATTCGAGGTGCAATGACTAGCCTCATTCAAAATCCATTCAAACGCCCAGTAGCATCTAGGTTGCAGCATTGCGACCACGCCTGCTCAGGCGTCTTGGTCGGCGGCGAGGTGGATTTGGCGGCACCTCACACACTGACATTCACTCTGTACAACCAGAACCTGTTGCGGGCCCCTTTGCTGCTTGTTTCAATAGTCAGCAAAAGATCGCTTGATTCTTGATGCCGATCGCTGCGTTGCTTTCGGCTTCTTGAAACAAGTCCTCCGACTGTATTGCCGGCATCATTGGCACGTGTGCAATGCTTTCTCGAGCAGCACACTATCGACTTTGCGCTCTGCACAGGGCCCTGAATTGAAGACTCATCGCCAATATGTCATCAACAAGTCTTGTCCACGCCCGCCGGGACTGCAACCACTGCTAAATACTCTAGAACAAGTAGGGCAGGCCCCGTGATATTCTGTGTTGCGACCACAACAAGTGAAGCAGTGTGTTGCGTTTGCTGCTTGGCTACGCCCAGGCCTGACGTCTCACAACGGAACGTGTTGATTTACCAATCTGCGGTCCGAACTCCTCGCAACTAAGAGCCAGGCGAGGCTTGTCTGAAGTCGCCACGTCCTCACCCAAAATATATTCTCTGTGCTTGAAGTCTCCTTCTTCGCCCAGCCTCATCGTCTGCCAGGTCGATGCATCCTGCAACTGGCGCCTGGATTCATGCTGAGGAAATTGCAAGCCGCTGCGATCTCACAGCACTCTTTGGAAACCCATGCTTCATGCAGCCTGATTACATTCCAAATGCAGACCGAGCACCTTTGACTGCCGCCTTCGTTTTTTGCGCTGCGCCGGCGCTTCCTCAACCAGCAGCTTGTTGTACATTTGCTGCACTTGTCACAGAACCGTGACGACGCCAACTTATGGGGCCCAATCATCAATATGCTCAATGCACGGCTGAATGTTCAGTCCTCTTCCAAGTCAATACAAATAGCCTGTACTCTCGCTCTCACTCTCACTCGAAGAAGCTGGCAACATATCCTTCTGCACCATCAATGACCAAACTTTGCCAGCAACTTGTCTTCACGGCAGCTGTCTCTGATCTCGCCTCATCAATCATAAACGTCCTGTCAAATTCAAGCACTGCTAGGCCCAGTCTGAATCTTGGTGCATGCTCTTGCCCTGGAAATGCAAACGACGCGTCCTTGGTCCACAAGCTACCAAATTGGATCCATGGATCAAAGAATGATGCAGGCAAGTCGGACCATGTTGTAGAAGGAGCATGCGCCATTTCACAATACCAACGAAACTTCTGAGATGCCTGAACGACTAGTGAAGTGTTGACATTGATTGAGTGAAACCTCTGTGCGTGTGTGCCGTGGTGTGGGTTGCCTCTGAGCACTCACTTGTTTGCTGATATATGCAAGCTGCACCAATGCGATGAGCCCATCCATGCTGGGGCTCCTTCGCCAAATATCGAGCTGTTGCTCAGCTCACACAAAACGTAGTCCCCTGCTAGCATTCATGAGCTTAGCAACACGTTAAGAACAGAAAGCAATGTACTGTCCCTTCATCAGGCATGCGTGGATGTCACCAAGTGAAACAAACAAAACGCTCCGGGCCACTCACCTATGAATAGCACGAGCATCCATCTCTTTTGCGTCCACGCACAATACATTATCTGCAAGACACCCACTCTTGCATGGGTCACGCAAGGCAAATGTCTCAAGGGTCCGTCTAGTATACAGCGTGAGCACCGCAAGCAACCAAGATCTGAGGAAAAAGCGTCTCTCTTCTGAGCAACCGCTCAGGTGCTCAGGTAAAAAGGGCACTGTGCTGTCAATTGCAGCAGAACCGCGGTGAGACCCGCGTTGCAATGTGCCGTGCTGGCTGGAAGCTTGCAAGCTGAGATCGTGGAGGTCAAACGCACTTAATATTTATCCAGCATGGGCAGAAGTGTGCTGCACAATGAAGCCTGCTAGCTAATCTTACGTTGATAGTAAAGCGCTCTGCACCCATCATTCTTGAAAACTGAAGATTGGCAAAATGCAGCTGGCAAGAGTATATTCAACATGTGTGCTATTGTTGATGCGCGCAATGGCACCTGTTCCTTTCATATGTGACTTGCTGGTACTTCAACTGTGAAGTGGGGACACTACACCTGGAGAAACCAGAAGGTCGACTAGCCGCAACAAACTTTGCCAAAGCACCATGTAACGTGTTGGGAGACGCGCACAAAATATCTAGTAGATCGAGGTAACCCACTTGCTACTCACAAATGTTGTCGCGCCCGAAGGCAAATCAACAAACTCTTGCAAACCATCGCCACGGCAAAGCACATTTCTCTAAAGGTGAGAAAGCGATCTGTTGACCACATTGGAGTGTAGCCATAACCTAAGGTCATATGCAGATGGATGGTGCCGTGCCGGTGTTCAAGGCCGTGGCCTATTTCTGCAATGCAGAATAAACCTGACGCGTTGCATTGGAGAAGCAATGATGCAACTGGCCCACATGAACCTTCTGAGCTCTCGACAACACCCATCAGCACGACGAGCACGAAAATGTTCAATGCCTGGGCTGTCTGGGCTGGCTGGCTCACGGTTCCCTCTAATGTCTTCGCCTCATCCCCTCTCGAATTTGCTTCTCAGTTTGCAGCCCGGCGGTGAAACAACGAAAGGAATAGATAGAAGGAAGTGAGGGCATTTCCCCAAAGAGAATCTCCAGCTGGGTATTAAGCTCACTGCGTCGTTGCGGACAGCAATCTGATGCTTTGTTGCCCATAATGAGCCATAATGTATCAGAAGCATTACATGGCTTCACAAAAGACACCATCTAAATTGACATTTCGGGACGAGCTCCCTCTTGATCTTTGCGAATCAGAAACATGACCGACTGTACAGAAGATCATAGTTTTTGCATGGATGCATTCCGCGTCAAAACATTGCCTCGATGGCCTTCGCGCGTCTTCCGGGGCCCTCACGAACATGCGGGCAGCAGCTGACCCGAATGGGAGCAGCGAGCCCAGGTCCATGTATGCGGCCCAAGCCTGAGCAACGGCACCAGATATGGCTGCGGGTCCAATGATACCATTTTGGGGGTAGGTGAATTCACCACCCAGTTTAGTCTATTTTAGTGTGGATTGGGATGCTCACTGGGGGTACGCGATTTTGACCCATGGCCATATGACCTGAATGCAGAGTCCCTTGCCATGAAAGGCTCCGTCACTGTCACCAGTGCACCGTAGATAGTCTGCCTGAAAACGCCGGGCATCCGCTCACCTTGCCTGCCCTTGTCATTTCAAACCCAATTCAAACTGCCACCAGTGCATCAAGGCTTAGAATCGTGGAATTGAACGCAGGCCTTGTTGTTGCTGGGAGCAGGAACACACCGAGCAACATCAGAACAACCTGTGGATTGCACGCTGCTGCATTTGTTTACCAGTGAAGATTGGGTGCAAAAGAATGCGCTTGCGCATTGTGCAAGCGCACCACTAGCTCTGCTCGCAGCGCTCGACCTGCGCAAATATATGCGGGACATTGTTGGCTGCATGGAGTACAGCTGGATGCCAAATCGTTTGCTTGAAGGGACGTCCATGCGTGCAGGCCTTTGCTTTCTTCTCGCCGGAATCCCCTCTGCTCGTGAGAGTCAAAGTACTGCACCTTTGTGCACAAAGAACGAGCCACTCAGCCACTCAGTCTGCACGTGAACGAAAGTCCAAGCTCGCGCTCATCTTCAATGCCGATGTCCCAAGGCAGCAAGGCACACCAGCCAACAAAGGCTTCGCAGTATGGAGTGAAACCAGCATGTCCTTCTTCCAGGTGGAGTCCCTGATTCAGTATCGGCATCAATGAGCAGCTGACGCAGCGCTGAAGCTGGGCTCCAGATTTCTGTGCCTGCGCCAGGCTTAAAGAGTATCATGAGTATCTCAAACCATGGATTCTAAGGTCACTCTCTCCCTCTGCACTGGCACTGGACAATTCCCTGGAGTTTGAACCCTGTGCAATCAAGCGCATGCTTCTGAGCTTCTGAGCTGGTGTAAGGCTCCCACAGCTGTGATCGCTTCTGAGAGTCTGCCCTTGAGCTCGGCGAATTGCGAGGGACTGCTCCTGGCATGGCTTGGCAGGCCTTGTGTAGGTTCAAACACCATCCTCGCCAGTCCAATTTCCAGTTGGCGCTATCACACTCATTTTTTGTTTCGCTGCAAGCGTGCTTATCGTGAAATTGCAAGTGACCACGCGTTGATGGTCTGAATATAACCTTGGCATCACGCCGTACCCGACAAGCAAAGCCATTAGGCTTTAGGCTGATGAGGAAGTAAACCGGCTCTAAGCAATGCAAGGCATCAGCCTTAAGCAGAAACTATTCGGCTTTGCGATAGTGGTCGCCTTTCACCGGTTGTGCAGCGGAGCACCGTTGCATAAGTCACATCTGGATTCAGTGAACGAGAGTGGGCAAATGTCAATGCAGGTTGCAGCTGCTGCAGCGGCGGCTGTGGACGAAGCTGTGGAAGCACCGGATGCAGCGATTGTCGTGGCTGCCAGCTCACATCAGAATGGAAGCTGTGCACTGATGGAAACGATGGCATTGATGGCATTGATGGCATTGGTGGCTGCGCTTGAGACACTTGAAAACTATGGGACGACATCAACCTCTGCGCGCCAGTCCGCGCTTCGCGTGGAAAGTATTCGCTTCTCGCTTGCATCTCCGGCAAGAAATCCATGCCGGGATGCCAGGATCCTGGTCAGGTGCTAACCCCCTAGACAGGTCCCACTTTAGGTTCCCTGCCCTTCATTTCTCCTTTTAGAGGGTTCGAAAGGGTCCAAACAAGGCAGCACCTTTTCGAGAAACAGCCCAATACATCAGGCATGCATGCGCGCGCGCTTGCTGCCATCTCAAGTCCTTGGGCAAATGTGGGCAGAGAAGGGTTGATGGCGAAGCCCATGGGACCAGTGAAGGCGTCCAGCTCGGGCAGTGGCGGCAGAGTGGGGGTCTGCAGAACTGGTGCCTGCAGACCCTTGGATCGTCTCCGCGGCAGGTCAAGAGGAAGACGGGCGCGTGGTTTCCGAGGACCAAGTTCTGTCAGGGATGGCATGTCTGATATGTGGCCCCAAAGATGCGAATTTGGCTCTTCCAGGGGCGTGTAATGTGGCAAATCCAAATAGCGCATTCTGCGTGCACGGCGCGATTCTGCATCTTGATCCCGGGAGGTGTGTCAGTGATGGGAACAATTTCATTTGGCTGAAGCCCCAGGATTGCAACAGCTTAAGTTGAGACAGTTCATAGCCTGATTCATAGCTGTCAAATTAAGTCTCGATCGCCTTTTGCAATGGGTTTGGGGGTTGAAACTGCCTTTCGCGGGCTCAGTTGGTCTTTGTTTGGACTTGTTTCGGGCCGGGTTTGGGTGGTTTGCGAAGTACGTTGATGTGATCTTGCTTGTGCAGACCTGGAGTCGGGCTCAGGCAAGCACACTTCAATCCCAAAGGGGCAGTTCAAGGCATTGGGTTGCAGATCAAAAAAGTCAGAAGCAAAACTCTCAAATCTGGTCTCTGCAGAAATCGCGTCTGGCCTCTTATGCTGTCCATGGTACTCTCTGCAGCGGACTGAAGAGCGCCAGCAGCAGAGCTTGCCAGTGACTCCACATGTGGTTGTGCCACCGTGGCGGCTGTGTACAGTTGGTTTCCCACGAAGAGTGCAACCTCTTTCCCACCATTCCAGGCTGCTTTGCCTGTCAGGAATTCAAGACACATGGCTGCATCACTGGCATCAACAGCTACATGCCAATATGGCGCTGAAGCGTGCCTGCAGATGCAGACGCATCCCAAAGCCACTCCGAGTCTGAGGTCGTGTAGCTCCGGCCAGTGCAGCATCCGAACCCTTGTTGCTGCGCATTGGCCGGTGAGCCAACCTGCAACTCGCACCCTCGCTTGAGGCAACTTGACATGCAGCGGGCCTCTTCTGAGGTAGCAGTGGTAAAAGCGAGTGTGCTCTCCAAATCCCGTGGGCTCGTGGGAGCACTGCCCTTGTCTATCTTTCTGCCATCCTTCGTCGGTGACAAAGCCTGAAAGGGCTGGACTTGAACGATTGTGTGGTCAACATGAGTGTGAGACTACTACCTCTCACATTTTCTGGCACAACTCTCTCGCTCGCTCTCTCTCTCTCTCTCTTTCTCTGTCTCTGCCTGCCTTGCCCGTCGTGAGAAGCGTCGGCCTCACCCCTGAGCGCCTAGACTGTCCATCCTCGCTGCTCAAAGCCGACTGGCTCCGAGACACCAGCCCTGGGCAGCTCAGTTGAGGAATCGGAGCTGCCGTCGCATCCGGCGGCATCGGCTCCTTTCCATCCGATGCCATGCACCGAGCATTCAAGGAGTGGACACTAAGTCCAATGGAAAAACTCCCACCTCGGGACTCGTGCGCGTCTGCCGGCGCAATCCAGCAAGGCAGCCTTCATTCAGAAGCTTCGGAAGGCCGCCAGCACCTCACTCCAGTGAGGCTTCTGCCACTTGAACTCCTGACGTTTCTTCACTTATGTCACCGAGCTGCAGCACCGGGGCGCCATGGCTTCTCAACAGTTCCGGGCTCTCTCAGTCCGGAATATGGCAATATGGCTGCTGGCTAAGGTGCAAATTGCGCTGCCCAGAAGGACCCTATCGGTCCTTTTCTCCTAGGCAAGCCCCCAATGAAAATTTGGCGGGTTCCTTTTGCCATGGAGCAACACGACACAACACATAGGCACAAACAGGGCAGTTGTACTTCTTCAAGTCCAATAGCAAAGCCTCCAAGTCGCAAGTTGAAAGCTCACGATCGACCCCATGCAACCTTCAAGGATTTTGGACTCAACTATCCAAGCCAGTGGCCTTTGCATGCGACGCTGGCTTGATGGTGCCCAACTCCATGAACCTGAGTGCGGGCAAGAGAACAAGGTGCCCTTCTCACTGGGATTTCATGGCGATCTTACAATGACAATATTGAGCTCCTGGCTTTCTTTCAATCTCAACCTCCATGCTGCCTTGAGCGACCCCACCTCCTGCTGCCTGTCAGCGGCACAAAAAAAACAAGTGAGGGCTCCATGGTCTGCTAGCGACCGTCCAAACAAACGAGGCCAATTTCCACGACACTGCGCTGGCACCCTGGCCTGTTCCGGCTGCTCCTTGCCCCGGTCCTGGGCCATAACCCGCTGGTCTCCACTCGGCTGCTCGGCTGAGGGCTTGGCAGAATCCCTTGGCCCCTCAAGGCCAGTAGGGACTCGAAACAAGGCCTGGGGAGAAGCCAAGCTGGCACCAGGCTAGCAATGTCAAGCTGGGCGCACCAAAAGATGCGGCAGCAGCTGACGCAGGCCCGTCATGATGGCGGCTTCGGACAGTACGGTACATTGCACCTGAGCTGGACTCAGCTCTGAATATGGAACGGATATGCCAAGCAAATGCCAAGACAAGCAACCACCAAAGCAAACATCAAGCAACCATCAAGCAAATGCCTGGCAAGCCATAGTCGAGCAAGCCCTCAAGAAAACGCGAGAGCACTCCGGGCCTTCTCAGCAAACATCAGCATGTCCGCCCAGTTCTGGCCGCTCAGGGCTCCCACCAGGGTGTCCTCGCTGATTACACCATACCCCTGCCACCCAGCACCTCATCTGCCATGCTACACATTGAAAGACCCCTCACCCAGCATCGCGAATTGCAAGGCAAGTGCATTTTCGATCGCAGCCGCCAGTAGTACAAAGAGCCCACCAACTCCCACCAAGCGCTGGACGGACCCCCATCTGGATTGTTCCAAACCAGGGTCTCTGGCTCAACCGCGTGATCACAGGGATCGCGTGCGAATGGCTCAAATCGCCAAGCAGTCGCAAACGGCGGTTGGCCGCAGCTCCGCCGAAATCTCACCAGCCGACTCGCCTGCCAGCCAGCAGTTGCAGCAGCTCGCAGCACTGGAGCATCCTCAGAGGAATGTGCAGGACCAGTGGATATGTTTGGGATTGCAGAAGCAAGCTGTGCCAAAAACAAGAGGCAAATCAGAGGCCATCAAATTTAGGAAAGCCTGGCGGAATTGATAGATGCTGTGAAGTTGTGAAGCCACGTAGGCTCGTGGGAACTAGTGGAAACATGACGCTTGGCTGCGCACTGCCCTAGACTTCAAGTGCAACCAAGCTTCTTCGTCATTGCCCCAAAGGATCCACAAGGTTCTGCAACCATGCATCCCAACTGAGGCAAACAACTTTTCCAAGGGCAAGAAGGACCTCTCCAAGGCCCGTCTGCGGGACAGGCCTTCTTCCACGCCGGTGCGGACATTGACAAGTTTGTCATCATACGGCGGGTTGCAAATGCATACGAGGTTTGACGTGTGGTGCTCTCCGGAGATCGGCTCATGCAACTCTGGCGTCCAATGCTCAATGGAGCAATGCGCAGAATGTATCTGGTCACGCCAGGGAGACGAGCTGAAGTTCTGGCGGGCAATCTGAAGAGAAGGCTCGTCTAGTTCAATCGCCCGCAGGTGCATCTCTGACCTCTGGCCTCCTCCTCGCTCCCACTGCTGAGCCAAAAGCAGTGTCAGGATTCCAGTTCCAGTTCCCACATCCAGAATCCGGAGCTGCTTATCCTGGTGGGAGCTGCTCACCAATGATGCAAAAGCGCAGGCAGCCTGTGTCGCCCGCAGCCCAGCCCACTTTGGTTGCCACAAGCTGAAGCTGTGGAAGTGCAAATAGTCACCCCCTGCCAAGTATGCCTTCGAGTAGCTGCCGTCAAAGACTTGCGTGGCATCTGCCTGCAGCACTACCACTCGGTTGCAAATCGCGTCCATCAAACTGCGGTCGCGTGAGGACATCAAGAGAACTTTAGCCTTCCAAGTGTCCGACTCTTTCAGGAAATCCTCCAGCCAATTGCAGGCCTCTTCTCCGAAGCCCTCCGTGACATCGTCTAGAAGCAACGCATCTGGGCTCCACATAATGAGACGAGCAGTTGCAGCGCGAAGCTGCACACTGTCAGGCAAGTCTTGCATTGACATGTGGGCAACATGTTCGAGCCCAAAATCCCGCAGGATCTGCTGAATATCAATATCGCTTGTCTGCTTTGGATATCGTGACGCCGCGCGACCATCCTTGACATCCACAACAAGCGAGCTTTGTCGCATGGCCGTCTGCTGGACGCCATCACGACTGACTGGGCAGCTTGAACACAGAAAGTCCGTCACAGAGCCGCAGGCCAAGTTGAAGCCGCGGCGCGCGATCGCGATGCGACATACCTCCGGAGCAAACGTCACCTTCCCAGACGCCAGCGTGGCTTCGCCGGAGAGGAGCTCCAGTTGCAAACTTTTGCCTGCGCCAGAAGGGCCTGCCAGTGCGGCCCGATCTCCCAGGCGCAACGACCATGAAGCACACATCGAATGTCCATGACCAATCACTTCAGTGAATTCCATAGCATGCACTGGCCATACAGCTGGAGCAAAAACTCGATGCGTAGGCGTCACAGAGACCAGGATAGCAACTTAAAACTGTACTCTAGCATGTTTGCAGGCTGTGTTCTCATTCGCCTGTATTAGGTCTAATGCTGGTTCTTCGCACGCACACAATAAATTGGAGACACGGAAAGCTGATGGAGAAATGCTGTGCCTGAGAAATGCCACTGATCTATTGAAATGAGAAAGGGTGCAAAAGCAAACGCTAATGTCTTGTTGCTAACATGGCACACGGAGAGCTCAGCCTGCAAAATGTGGTGCCCCCCCAAAAGCTCGGAAACTCGTGCAACGGTCGATGATCCGATCAACCCAACTCTTCCTGTTCGCTGAACACTGCAAACCATATTTGATTGATGAATCAAAGCTTGGCCCTCATCACATATAGTCATCAAGCCGCGATGGCGACACAATTTTACATGAGCTCGCATGACTGCAAGACATGGGTGTGGTTCATAATTGAAGAGCTAGGGTTACGCATTTTGGTACGTTTGTCCACATGGCAACCAAAATGAGCATAGACCACATCTCCTGGGCATAGACCTGCAGCTTCCAATCTCCAACCAGCTGCCCCAGCTGCAGCAGCTGCATCCACCACTGCTCTGCCTGGTCTTTGCATTCCATTCATCCATTTACGGTTGCAACTTGCGTGCGCAGTGTTAGACTCTTGCATGTTAGTGCATGCTGCGGCCTCCGGTTGCGGATGATCTGCTTGCAAAGGCCATGTGAGCTCCAGGTCGTCCTTGCAAAGCGCAGCATATTTTGAAGTGGAAATTTCGTTGGTCTGGCCTGCGAGTACAAGTACCGAAGCCACGCGAAGACCATATCTGCTGGGAACTGTCGCAGGTCCAGCTCGTAACGTGGGGCACCTCCCCCTGAGCTCCAAGCAAAGCAAAGGCAACGGTTTTCAGGCAGTGTGACAATCTGAGGAGGAAGCCACCCCCGTCGCGGTGTCGCAAGCGCAACATTGGTCGGGAGTCAGGGAACGTCGAGGAAGATGCATCCGCCGCCACTTGGCCCAGCCTTGAGTGCAGCACATCTCTTGCCGGGACCCCACATGTCGCACTCCAAGACTGCTTAGGCTGCTGCCAACCCCCTCCCCCGGCCAACTCAGCTGGTCCATCGGAGGGCCTGCAAAGCGGAGGCTCGTGTGAAGGCTACAAGACTTCGCGATGAGCTCTCGCACCTCTGCTCACGCTGCATGGCTGTGCAGCCAGCGCACAAGACCTCTGACACGAGTGTGGGCTGGCTTCTATACATCAAGCAAACGTGCGATGCACGAACCAATCACGGTGTTTTTAGCTAAAGCTCGCCTTATCCTCTGAGGTCCCTGCAAAGGCGTGGGCTTGCAAGCGCCCATCTTTGGGCAGCCAACGCGGGCCCCACCGCACCCGCGGCCTTCGCGGCTCCAAGCCCATGTGGCTGTGGCTCAAAAACATGGAGACCAAAATGGCACCTTAGATAAATGGAACCAAAGACCACCTGCGTAACCCTAGCCCTTTATTTTTGAGCCACATGTTGTGCTGTTTTGATGTTTGTCTTGAGTTTCCCTGGGGTGCCCACTGCGGAGGATCACATAGGAGCTCCGTGTCAGGACCATCGCGGTCAGGAGAGCGCAAAGTCTGCCGTAGCAAAGTCCACCTCAAGCTGCCGTTGACAGGACGTCGCAGAGGAAGCTTTGCTTGGAGCCGGACATCGCAGACGCAATGGAGGAGCTGGGCACAAAGAGTGCTGGAGCACCAGGAGCATCCAGTCGCAGCAATAGCCTCAGGAAAAGAACGCTGATTCATCTCAAGCACTGCCAGCGAAGTTTTGTGCAATGGGCTCCAGGTCCCATGGTCAGTTCCGGGCTGGTCACAAAGGCGCGCGAGACGCTCCAGGCCCAACGATGTGCCAATCTGCCGCAAATCAGTCACCTGCATGTTATGATCATGTATCAATCATTCGCACATGGATTGCATTGGCCATTGCCTCGCGTCTCAAAAGCATCCCACCAGTCTGGCGCATGCAACATGACACACGGGACAAGTAGAAGGGTTTGTTGGAGCTTGCTGATTTCATTCTGAAACGTCGTTCGCTGACAAACTGGCCGAAGTGGCTGCTCTGGCCCGCGTCGGGCGCTTCGCATCATCGGGCGAGCCCTTCGGACAGTCGAAACAAACCAACTGCAAGGAAACAAGCGAAGAACCACCGCAGCGCAAAGGACAGCAACATCAATTCGATGTCAGCTATGAACGCATTCAACTTGGAAACGGCAACGCAGAGTGCGCCTCTGGGTTTGAGCCTGGTAGTCGCATGCGGAGCTGCTGCTCTCGCTGCCAAACAGGGTGAGACCTACAGCTGCAATCAGCCATCATTTGCAGGTGCCAATTGTTTCAATCCGGACACACATAGCATATAACCAACATACGTATTGCTGTAAGTATAATATAATAGATCCCCTAGACCCCCCGGATCCCCTCCCCCGAATCCCCGCACCCAGTACCAGGAGCAAGAAACGCAAGAAGCCCTTTCACCAACCCAAACCACTCCAGCGTGCTTGGTGTTTCCAAATCGCCCAAACCAACCCTGAATCAACACTAAACCAAGCCCAAACTAACTCCAACCAACCTCCCGCGGATGGCGGGGGAGCGGGGAAGATGATGGGGCACCAGCTATGCCACACCCCAGAAAGCTCGCCGCATTGCATCAGCGGAATGGATTCAATCCGATGGTGATGCCATGCCACCCATCTCATGTGCGGATGCCACTTGGCCCCACCGCAGATGAAAGCGTAGACACTATCAACTCTGGGAAGAGCAAAGCTGCTTGGTAAGAACGGGCAAGTTCACTCATTGGAAAAACTGTCTCTCAAAGAGCATCTGTTGACACACAAAGAAGCTGAAGTAAGTTCGAGACTCATCAATCACTTTCAAGTTGCTGAGCCTAGGCGACACGCCGGTGCATGATTCCGGAAAGGTGCATTCAAGCTGCCCAGCATGACTTGAGGCGCCAGCATATCTGTACAAAGAAATCGCACAAGCCTCAGCTGTCGGAGGTGCCATGTGTCACGCATGACTCGGTTCAGGCCCTAACGCTGCCAAGACTGCCTCGCTGAAATTCCGCAACTCCAAGCCGCCAAGTGTGGACAAAGGCACCTGCGCCCAGTCTGAGCTTTCAAGAACCATAGTGCTTTCTGGATTTATGTCTGCCCAGGTTAGATGACTTTAAGGAATTCTCGAATGAAGCAGCCATAACATAGGTCTGAGACAAACATGTCAATGTGAGCAAAGGAAAAAGCCTGGCTGCTGAAGGAAGGTCTTCGGGGCACTCGAGGTCGCACGGGCGTCGCCTAGACACGAAGCGAGAAAAGCAGCCAAAAATGTGGAATGCACTCTGTACACCTACCTGCCTGCCTGCCTGCCTGTGGGTGGTGTTTGCGTTTGTGTGCGCGGCGTGTTTGCGCGCGTGCTTGTGGGCAAGCGGGGCCGCAGCTCTATGTTCGGAATATCTCCCCTCTAATTGCCTGAGTTTGGGCTAGGACCAAGGCTCCCACGGACGAGCGTGAAGGAGGAGATTGTCTTGCAGCCTCCATCACATCATCGGGCATAAGCTCCTGCAAGCAAACTACAAGAGCGGCTCCCTGACATGCCCCAGACCCAGCCTCCTCTGAAAGACTGTCATCAGAACTGAAATCCGGCACTTTTTTTGGCACTGCCGCTTGTGGTGCAGGCCGCACTTCCTTGGTGCACTTGTGCATGGGATGACTTCGATGGAAGCAACAAGTGGTTCTACAGGTCGGTGTGGGTTTGACTCCTATTATTGGTTTCCAAGTGTCCTCAGCACCTGGTCTTTCTGTACCTGGCAAACATAGCAACAACACAAAAACACAGCATCGCCCATTTACAGACGGCCTGAGTCGGAATCGGAGCTGAAATCCGCCACAGGTACTTTCCTGCGACTATGTGTTCTCATCACTCGGAAATCGCTCTGCATCGTGGTAGATGTCTCGCCTTGGAGGCACCTTGCTAGGAACCTCAGGCGTTGAGCAGCCATCATGGCGGTTCATCGGCACATGCGTCACTGCTGTTGCCACTAGGCAAACTTGCCACTCTTCCAGAAAGACGCGTGTTCAACACTTGCAAGCCGGATAGCCAATGCAATGATTCAAACACGCTTTTCAAGGAGATGCTTCAGTGCTGAGACACACTGCCCCTTTCCAAGACCATGGCCCAAATTGTCGGCCTTTTCGCGCAACTGCGCATGTCATTCTCTGAGCTCCACGCTTTCTTGGGCACCGGAGGGTGCAAGGCCTGGAGTTGACGTGTCGCACGCTCAAGTTCGATCAGTCGCATGTCTCAGGCCGCAGCCAAGCCAGCCGCTTCGTCTGCGTCACTGCTGCGCAGCGCCCTTCGATGGGAACGACTTGCGCCCAATTCCCTGCACTCAAAACCCAAATCGTACCCCCAGTGAACATCCCAATCCCCACTAAAACAGGCTCTAAAATGGGTGGTGAATTCACCTACCCCAAAATGGGACCCCATTGGTTTTGACCCGCATGGATTGACCGGGCCCGGCGCGGAAGCTTTCTTTGGGCCGACGACCTGGGATTCCACATCGCGTCAGACTGCTGACTCGGTACTTCTCCCGCCTTCTTGAGCGATGCAACTCCGCCACTTCCATCAGACCTCCAGATTCGCCGCTGCTGGTGTCCTGGCCCACGACTTCTTGCGAGCATGGTGCAAGCACCAAGGCCTCTGACGGCTCGGAGGCTCGAACCTGGCGCGCCGCAGCATGACCATCACAATGCTCAAGCTGCTCTATTTATTTGGCACCCGCACCTCAGCCCCAAAAACTGCAACGGATTCGGGGCGAAGTCGAACCACCTGGCGGAAACGGTGCAATGCGGGCCATATCGCGGCGTGGAAATGCATACAGCTTCAAAAGCAGATCGGATGGATTGCCCATGTTAAAAAGTCCCTCACTGCCACACAGTCAGTCACGGGGGATCACCTGGAACAAGCTTGAAGTATAGTATCTTGACATCCAAAAAACACACATCACCGCATGCCCAAGACCACTGCCTGCGCAGAGAACGCTCGCCATATTGGCGAGTCAGTACCATCAGGCATGGCCTCATGCAGTTGTGACATCTCTGTGACATCATGGCATCACGAGTTTCACCTGCAAGCCGTATATCTATGAGGTCTCATACTTTGCAAACCCCGTGAAGCAACGCCTGGAGCCTGCGGTGAGACGCGCTTTTGCCCTGGGGCATCGACAAGTCTGGCTCGGACAGCCGTGCAGCAAAGTGGTATCCTGGCTTCTTCCTGCACCGAAAATTCTGCTGGAATCGATGTACTGAGCTCTCAGGTGACAGTCCTCTGAGGTCGAATCCACTTCGGAGACCAAGAAGCCATCGCAGAAGTCCATCAAGCTCTGCGAGGCCTTGCATAGTTGCGGCCGTAGGATACGCGGGCCCTAAGGAACAAAGGGGCACCCCAACCCGTGAATGCAGCGCTCTTGTTCTCAGCTAAACACAGCTAGTGATACAAACAATCATTGGACCAGAAAGTCTTCAAACGCCTCTTGGAAAGGCCCCTTGACTCCTTCTTCTTTGGTGAGAAAGCTGATGCGTGCTGCATGCTCCTGATGCCACTGCGCTCCGGTCTGGCCATCTGAATTGCCACCGGAACCAGAGATCGGTTGAATGCTGCGGCTCAAATACTCCCTCACAATACAGGGCGGCTTCAGCACAGATGTGGGGGCGAGTTGTCACAGCAAGTTGCGGTCCCGGCTCCTCATGTATCGCTCCGAGTCGCTTTGTTCGTGCCACTCCTGACTGAACAAAACAAAGTTTCCGTCAGGTGAGATGTCCGCAACGGTCGGGGCGTTGGTCGTGAAGTAGTCCTTTCCCATGCCTTCTCGATCACGGAAGGCTTTGTCTTCTGCCACTTGAACAGCATAAAGTTCCATCGCCCGGGACAATGAGTCAAACCCAGGATTTGGGAAGGCTCTTGGCCCTTCGTGCTTGAAGCGGCACTCATCCCCAAACTTGCAGCGGCCTTCGCGGAAGTGGCGGCAAATTTCACTCATGGCAGGCAAGTTCTGCTCGGACCTCTCTAGCAGGAGGAAGCCATTTCTCTATCTAAAGTGTTGCCTTTCCGAAGTCTGGGCTAGCACTAATTGCAAGAGGTGGAATCACAAATGCCAGCATTCCGTAATGTCTCTTCACACTATGGATCGTTGATAAATACGTCTGAGCCAGGCGGACTGACTGTCTTGTTTCAACTTCCGAAGACTACAAACTTGACAACCCAAATTCCATTCACAGCATTTCAGTGCCCACTCGGCGTCGCTCTCCAGCAAACTAGCAAGGAAACGGTTCCGTCAGTGTTCAAACGTTTGTTCAGTGCCATTGCTGCTGATGCTGCTGCTATTTCTGAAACTTCTACTGCCACTACTCCTGCTGCTGCCGCTTCCCCTGTCTGCGTGCGTGGGTGCGTCTCCACGCACGCACTCACGCCTGCACGCCCGCGCGTCATTCTCCAGGAAAACCGCAGCTTTGGGATCAAAAGTCCAAAAATCGGCCTCTTCGGACCGTGCGTGCGTGCGCGCGTCCATGCTTGTGTTGCGTGGGTGCGTGTAGGTGGGTGGGAGTGTGTGTGTGTGTGTGGGTAGGTGTGGGTGGGTGTGGGTGGGTGTAGGTGGGTGTGGGTGCGGGTGGGTGGGGGTGGGTGCGAGTGGGTCCGCGTTGTGCGTGTGTGTGCGTGTGTGCGTGCGCGCGTTTGCGTGCGTGCGCGCGTGCGCGTGCGCGCGCGCTTGCGAGTGTGAGTGTGGGTGTGGGGGTGTGCGCGTCTTTGCTTTTTTGTTGTTTGTGTGCGTGTGTGTGTGTGTGTGAAGTGCCCTTGAGCCTCAAGCCCTTGAGCCTTAACATTCCGCCACTCTGGATTTGGCTCCAGCTTGCGATTTGAATCATCTCCCTGCCAAAGAACAAATATTGCTTCGTTGTGACCTGCCTGAGCTACATTGGGTGGCTCATCCTGCCAACTATCATGTGAATCATGAGCCAATCTCAGCACCACTTGTCCTGACACCAGTCCGGTGGCATCAGCCTCTCCAGCCTGGCACGTCCGTCCCATGAGATTCATCCAACTCAACCAGGTCAGGCAGACGGGCTGGAGGGCGCCGCCGTGGCCATCGAGTGCCAGCCTCCACGGGCTGTCCAAAAAAGATGAGCGCCGGAGTTCTGTGACTCGCGCCTCCCGCTGCTACGGTGCCAAGCCGCACCAACGGAAGCTTGGGGCTTGGAGCCACCAGGCGTGGCACCCACGACACCTGCCATGGCGCAAGGACCCACCCCCCCCGGCGCTGCAAGTCAGCCAGTCAGCCTCCGAGCGCAAGCGCGCGCGCGTGCTCGAGGTGCCAGCCTCGAAGGTTTGATATAGCCGAAACCCCGTGAGAGCCCTTTTGCCTGAAGAGGCGCTCCCCAAGCGTACAGGGCGCCATCCTGTGGGCAGCATTCGCGGTCGCACGAATTGCGTTGGTCTAGCACTTAAGCACCGAAGTGGAATCACGTGCCAAGCGGCCTGTGATAGCGCCACAGAGTGCAGGCAGCCCGAATCGATGTGCACGATGCGAATGCCAGCTAGCGCTCTAACAGGATGTGGCCTGCCCCAGGATTGGTCAAAAGCCAAAAGCATAAAATGCTCGTGCGAGTGATCAATGTGCTTGGACCGATGCACGTTGGCACACCCACAAAGGACGCTGGGCCCCCGCGCCGTACCCACCAGTGCGACAATTGTCTCAGACGAAACCTTGCAGCAACTCGTCTCCAGGCCGTTTCCGGCATTCTGATAGCATGTCAGCTAGCCTCTGCGCACTGAGAATCAAGCTGAAACGCGGCATCAACTTGCGTGGAATTCGGCACAGGTTGACCTTGCAGACCGACAGCCCCCAATACATCTGCATTTGCAAGCCGAGACAATGCGATGCAACACGGTGTGCTGCCATTCTCTGCCTATGAAGCTGCATGGCCCCAGCCTTGACCAGTCATCGGGCCACCTTCTCCTCCCCAGCTGTAGACTTTCCTCGAAACATGTAACAAAATAGTATTGGGAAGTGCAGAATCATCGCACGTGGCTCGGATTGGCTGTGAGTGAGAGCAGAGCAGCTTGCTGAGCTCACAGCCCAGCCGAATCGAGGGCTAACGAGTGCGAATCTCCAGCAGCTACAGCCTGCAAAGGGCTGCCAACAGCCAATTCCAGATGCTGGATGCACAGCACTGGCCTGCATAACAAAGGCAGCTGGACACGCACGACTTAACGTCAGCCTCGAGCTGCTTGCACTCCGTGCATTCAACGTTGCAGTCCAGTCGTGGGATGCAAGGCACGCCACACAAGGCCCAGGCGGCTCATGAGACTCTTGCAAATGCCCGACTCCAAGCTGCCCTTTGCTGTTGTCACCCCAAGACAGCAGCCTGGCGCTTGCAACTTGCTTGCAACACCCGTGTGGAGGGAGCTTCACAAGGCAAGGCACAAACAGCTGGAGTGCACGGCGGCCTCCCTGCAGCTGAGCACAAAAGCACGAACGCAGCCCCAGCCGCGATGTCCGTCCTCGGGCTGGCCAAATCAATCCAAGAAATCAAAAAAAAAACATGGGACCCTCGTGCACAGCTTGGATTGCAGCTGAGAGTTCTTCTTCCTATGCCTAACCAGGCCATCCCTCAGGCATGGACGTACCCTCTGCCAGAGTTTCGATGCGACGCGGCCGTAGCCTCGATGCACGGCTCAGGCAGCAATCACTCTCTGCTCATGCCCTCAGCGTCTCAGCGTCCGGCTGCGCACGGAACTTGGTCCGGAAACCAAGCCGACCGCTTGCACTGACTCCAAAGGTAAACACCTGCTGCACACAATGCCAGAATGCCAGGTAGAAGCAGGATCACTCCGCCGGCCTCTCCCTCACTGCTCAAAACGATGCTGAATCCCCCGCCGCAAGCAGCCTTTGCAATTCTCGGCCTGCAGCACATGCGTTTGGAGGCTGGCAGGGTGGGCTTGGATGCCCCAGCCTCAAAAGCTGCAAGCCCAGATTCTTGTTCGACGTTCGCTGCCGGTAGCGCAGGTGGGAGTGTTTCCCCCAACCTCGTTGCAAAAACAAAACACAACTTCAGCACAAGCCATTTATAGTGCCTGAGTACACCCATTCAAGCAAGCTGAGGCAGTGTCCCAGTGGTTCCATGTCCTGCTTTTGCCGACCACTACCGCTTTCGCCTGCATTGTTGCAACCAACCCTTCTGCAAGAGTGTCACATCCTTCTCACTGGTCATTCCTCTCCATGCATCATTCAATATCCACGTGGGCAGTCTCCCTGTTTCTCTAAACATCGTATGCTCAAAGCAATCCTAGCATCAAGTCGCCTAAACCCTATTGTGCTGTGACTTGATTGCCTGAAGTCTTCCGGTGCGCTACCACAATATGCCACTCAGAGCGGTTCTTCGCGGAACGCCTAGAACCACGCCTGCACCCGTCCCTAGAAACTTGGTGACCAGAGTCGGCGTGCTGACCTCGGAATTGCAGCTGCGACCCTCTTCTTGCCAAAGTCTCACTCAGCCCGCGGCATTGGCAGTACTCCCAAGGCCACATGCAGGTCCATAGCCCCAGCCTCCGGGCGGACGTACCGCAGTCGCAACTTCAGACACGAAACACCCTGGGTTCCCAGGCTGTACAGGCGGCCATTTCTGGAAACAGCCAGAGTGTGGGCGCCCAGCATGTCGCTACCAACAGACACCTCACATCTCTCTTGTGCTCGAAGCTTCGGAAAGCAAAGCTTAGCACTAGAACTCAGCAAAGCACTTGAACTACGTTCACCCTGGATGGAAAAGAGCGTAAGAGATTTGGCACGAAGTCACTGGTACTGCGGGTACCTGGCGAGCTGAAGTTTCGGCAAGCTGAACGATTGGATGCATCCAGTGCTGTGCCTTTGGAGTAGACGGGGGTCTTCCGCTGCTTGCGAGCTTTATCTGCATGCGTCAAAATTGAAAAATGGGGAATACATTCTGCAAACGATCAAGCTCATCGCCTGGAAAATCCTTACACGGTGACGAACATTCAGAGACAAATCCAGTTCTACTCAATGTTCAACCAAAAGCGACCAAGCCTTTGCTCCTGCTCGGACTTGCCTGAAGGCGTTCGAATTGAGACCAAGGAGACAACTGCGTGCCAATTCAAGCTGTGATTTCAGGAATGTTAACTGACCCCTCAACTTGGACCAAGTCCCTGTTGACCCGATGGCAGACTTGTCCAAATCGCAAAATCGGCACCTTGAGCCCCATTGCCGCTTCATCTTCGCTGTCGACGTCACCAGACCTCAGTTTCTGCGGTGCCTTCCTCGTGACCGCGGATTTGAGCATCCAGCGACGCATCCGATGAAGCATCACTGCCGCTGGCGGCAGTCCCAAGGCCTCGGAGTCACCAGTCTGCCTAGCCAGATCCCCGAGATGGGTGTGGCTCAAAATTCAAGAGCTTGGGTTTGCAGGTTTTGGCCTTTGTTTCCATTTTCCTAGGGGCCATGTTGCCTAATCTCCAGCTCAAACGCGATTGAGCCCAGCACACTTGGTGATCTTGGAGCCAAAGGTTGCAACGTCGCCAGTGGATGTGACCACTGCAGAGTGGTACCTCCCCAAAATCCATCCAACGCATATGGCACGTGCAGCTGGCGCTTTTCGCGGCTGGAGCACCAGCTGCAAGCTGTCCCCACCACTTCGTAACCTCGAGAGCCAGTCGCCAGCCAGTGCAGCTGCGAGGAAAAAGAAAAGTCAGGCCATGATCCTGAAGCCTGAAGCAATGTCTCTCTGCTGCTAACTCCAACATTTTGTTCTCAGAGTGCTGCCGTTCAGCACTCCACTTACCAGCTGCGGCTTGGCTGCATCCTCCAGGCTCATCCCATCACACCAGCAAGAACAAGAGTTGCTGAGCTGGCGGCCGCACTACTGCCAATCCCCAGCCGGCCATAGTTGCCGCTTCCCCAGGAATACACCTGAGGCCGCGGCAAAACCTCAATTGAAATGGGCTGCACATGTGTTTTCTTATCGTTTTTGCGTCAAAGTTTATCGTTTTACACATTAGATGCATGTTCAACCTTATCGTTTTTTTTTGCACCTCATCGTTTTACAGGGATTCGCGCATTTTCGGACAACTGCGCGCATCAGCTCTCATAGTGGCTTCAAAGGCTTTCTTCGTCGGACTCACGAGCAGCAAGCTCCTTCCATGCTTTTCGTTTGCGCTTGCTTGCTTCAATTTGTTTGGCTAGCCTGCGCTCATCAACTGCAATAATGTGTTCCAACGTAGAGTCCAAGACATGTTCCAACGTAAAAGACAAGTATGCTGTCCATGGCGGGGAGACAAAGGGAAAGCTAGGGTAGAGTGGCTAAGTTCCTCTCAATGGGCAACTCCTCACGGGCATGGGTTCTGTCAAAAAGCGTTATCGTTTTTGTTATCGTTTTGTTATCGTTTTCAGCGTCGTGACTCGGAAGCCTCTCCCGGGTCTCAATGCTCCAAGCCATGGTTGTGAACAGGAAGGACGGAAAGGGAGCAAACAAGATTGAGCAAAATGCTAGCAATACGTGCATTCCATGCTCCAAACCTTATCGTTTTCCAGCACAAACAACACGGAAACACCCAAAAACCTTATCGTTTTTTTTTGCACCTCATCGTTTTACCGGGCTTCGTGATTGTCCAACACAATGTGCGAGACTCTTACATCCCGCAAGCACGAGAGTATTGCCAGTACCTCACCTCCATACATGGCTATGGGTCAAAACCCTGCACCCCCAGTGAACATCCCAATCCCCACTAAAATAGACTAAAATGGGTGTTGCACCTACCCCAAAATGGTACCATTGGTGTTGACCCACGGCCACATGACAGCTCACTCTGCCAGCTGACTGGTCCTGGCCTCCATGAGTTACATGCATTTTGTCTACAGCGCGAATTCCACCAAAGCTTGAGCCAGCGCAAATAGCCAAACATAGATTGAGAGTGCTGACAGCAGAAAGCTCCGCGCGTAGGCGGCCAAACAAGTTCGCTTCGGGCGGGCGACGCGTGCTTTTGCCAAATTCCGAGATGAGTTTGCATGTTCTGAGATCTGTGCCTTGGCACCTAATAATGACATTGAGCACCCAGCTGGCTTGACTCTTGTAGCCTGCATTCTCTGCGCCATGGCAAGGCAATGAGGCCTCTGCAGGCCTTCCGAAGAGTCAATCTGTGTATTCACAGACCCAAGTTGCAACTGGTTGTTTCCTGAACAAAACCAACACCACACAGGCACTCTCCAACCAAAGCGAATCGAATATTTCAAGGCAGTGAAAGGCGCAAAATACCGAGCCAGGCACTGAAATGCTCGCTTTCGGATTTTGGATCCGATTCAGTGCGCCGAATCACCGAACCGGCTCCTTGTCATTCCACCCTAGCGTCGACGAGAATCTGAACGTGAACTTCTCCGCTTGCTGCTCCCGCCGCCGCCGTTCTTCAGTGTCACATTTTTCCTCGGATCTGCGGCACCTTCAAATATTGCAACAAAGCAAACAGCACACGTCGCTCGCTTGCTCCGCCCCTTGATCAATCGGCAATGAGCCTGACTCGTGGCGTTATGACACGAAGCTTTGCAAGCAGAAAATGTAGGCAAGTTACGCTGTGGGGTGACCCTTCCTATCGTCCCGGATCGCCTTGCAGACCGCAAGGCAACAAACAGTGCTGTGACTCCAGCATTGCTCATGCAAGTGCAGCACAAATGTGCAGGTTGTCAAAAAGCTGAGCAGCTCAAGCACCCTCAACACGTCGTGAGACTACAAAAAAAAAAAGACGAACCATTGCGCAACCGGATTGGGTAGGTTCTATGGCCAGGATGATCTGCCTCGTACGTGACCTCGTCGTTGACCCTGAGCTCATCGAATGGGCAAGCCTTGTTCACAGCTGTGCAGTGGAAGTAGAGGTCCTGTAGGCCATGTGAAGTACATTTGGGTATAGCTCAAAATTAAAGACCTGGGGTTACGCGTGTTTTCGTCTTTGGTTCCATTTACCAAGGCGCCATTTTGGTACCACGTTTTTGAGCCACAGACGTTTGTCTTGCTTGAGCTCAAAGTCAGACCCCCCAAGATGAGTTCTTGGAGTTTTTGGCTCTGTGTACCCAGTCCTTGTCATTCACCTTGCCAGTATCTGGCCGAATGAAGCCAAAGCCGGATCCCTGCCGCACCGCAAGACTTGTAAACATCTCTCTCGCCACTGGTGCAGGCCAAAGCTTCTTGCTCAGTCTCGGCCTTGAGGTCCACAATCACCCCTGATGTGCCCCATTCAGAGAGCGCTTCTCCTGGACGTCCTAACTTTTCCTACAGCCTGAGGCCTCATGCCCAACTCAACCAGAATGCTGCAGTCCTGCTGACCTGCTTCCGCGTCCCCGGCCCCTGAAGGTGCTCAAGAAACCGGCAGTCTTAAAGAGGAGGAAACCAAATCTGAAAAACAAAACCACCCAGCATTTCTTGCGCCAGCTTGCACCCTGCCTGCTTCGGCTATCATCGCGCTTGGACCGACGAGGAGAGCGAGAGCGGCCGCGGCCTATGTCGTACTGGTGACCCGAAAAACAGGGAGGTATGATCGAAGCAAAACATGGAAGCCCATTCATTGGGCAATTACAGGGGGTACTGGATTCCCCCTTCAAAAGTCGCAATGAACTAGTGGCGTCCGTTGAAACTGCCACTTTTGGAGGTTCCAAAAGCAAAAATGTAGGACACCCTGAGCAGGGCCGCACAACCAAAGAATCACCAACGCCGAGTCTGAGCCTCCTCCCCGCGGTCGAGAGTCACTCCTTGCACGCACGCGTGAGTTGTTGCTCGCCACAACTCTCCGCATTTGCGTATGAGATGATGTGGCTGTGGGTCAAAAATGCGTACCCGAAATGGAACCCTGGTAAATGGAAACTTGGACTACAACCTGCAGTCCCCTGCTGGTTTAATTTTTGACCCACACCCATGTGATGTCATGTGTCATGATGGATGATGGGATGTGACTGCATGCCGTGTAGCGCAATGTGACCTTATGAAATACAATATCGAGTCCGCAGTGCAGTGTCATGCACTGTGGTGCTGTGTGATGCCATGCACTGCACTGTAGTGTTGTGTGCACGCTAGCCCTCTAGTGCATCCTAGCGTGCTCTAGTCTGCTCTAGTCTGCTCTAGTGCACTCTAGAGTACGCGAAAGTACTCTAGTGCACAATTGCAAGGCATACTGTAGGGCTTTAGTGCCTTGAGCGAAGCCAAATGTGTAATGTCGTCCAACATGAAATTCGCTTCCCAAACTTTGTCCGACCCCCCCCCCCAACCGGCCCACGTCGCGCGACCCAAAAGCATGCTCCAGTTCCCCCTAGAAACCTACCAAGTCCCTAGAAAACTTGTTGCCCCAACCAAATTGCCCCTCGAAAACCCCGCCCACCATATATCTTGGGAACCAGCCCACACTCAAGGCAAGCCAAAACACAGCACCTTAAAGCCAGCCACAAGCAGGCTGGCCGCCTCTACAATTCGTGAAGGAATCGTGTGCGAAGTGCATTCATGAAGGTGCACTCATTGGCTGTGGGTCAAACATATGTACCCAAAATGGAACCCTGGTAAACGGAAACATGGACTAAAACCTGCGGTCCCCTGGTGGTTTAATTTTGACCCATACCCCATTGACCTCGCATCTTGCGCGCCTGGAGTCGCTTCGCCGAGGCATTGGACTGATTGCTCCCCGCTAGGAGCCACAAACGGCCTTTGCGGACACGGCAGTCGACATGGACCTGACTCAACACGATCTGATTGCTGGACTCAGCCCATAAATTAGCTGGAGGGTGCAGGGTGGGGCTATATTGGCGTTGGCACCTGTTTAGGGCTGCAACTTCGGGTTGCAATTTGTGACAATTCAGCTGGTCCTTACTTTTCGCGCTGGGGTGAAGTCTCAAACGTCACTGACCGTAGGTTCTACGTCCGCTTTGCGGAAGGGAGACTGTGGAACAGTCTTGGTAAAAGACCGCAAACAATTTGATCTCCTATGTACACTCCCAGCAACTGCTGCTTGGGCTGGGGTTGTCAAAGCAGCAGATCGCGGCCGGTAAATCTAAGAAGCTAACATCTTCATTTAATGATGTATGCTGAGCCCAGCTACAACTCTACACCATGCACATGGGATTGCATACTTGGAGCAAGAGGTGCAAAAAAAGGATATCTGAGACTCTCAGAGTTCAGAATCATGCAGCACCTCCTAGGCTAGAAATTGCAGTGATCTCAAAGGAACGCAGCTTCTAAATCAAGCACAAACGCAAACGTCCTCCGCCTCATCTTTCTTCTTGCGGCGCTCCTTCATAACAATATCAGCAATACAGTACACAGCAAGATGCACAACGCTCCTTCTTCTCCTTCTTTTCGCGAGGCTCCTAAGGTCCCAATCCCTCACATGCTTTGCTGCCAGCCCATTCCCGGCAAAGGCTCCTTCGGCTCCCTTGGCTCCTTCGGCTCCTTCGGCTCCCTCCTCTCCTTTGCTTCTTTTGGCTCTCTGCCATCCTGGCGCGCCAATTCCGGAGCTCGAACTCCCATGAACATATGCGGAGAAAAGCTGACCTTGCTCCCAACATGCATCTCGCCGTCTCGCAGTTTTGCACTCAGGCACCTTCGCACGATCCTTCCTGTCCTCGCTCCTTGCCTGGCAAGCATGCACCCGATTCAATCGCTGTGTAGTCTACCAATTCATGCTGGTTGGATGTTTCGTAGGGAGCCCATACTTGCAATCAATGAAACACATTCACACCCCAGGCACACGTGCTTCAAGCCCCTTGAAAGTGGTCAGGCCTTGCCGCCCATATCTTTGCTTTTTGACTTGCTTCGGCCAAAGTCGTCAGTCTGCGCGATACTGCTCGCTTTGCTCACAACACGCACGAGAAGCTTGGTTTCTACATCCATACATCCAGCAGCATGCGTGCAGGTGAAGGGCTGCTGGGACAAGGCGTGCATCTCTAACAGAAAGGTGGCATGCTCACATATGGCACTGGCGCGCCTTGCTTCTTGAGTGACCTGCGGCGGACGCGGTGTGCTGCATGACTCCACGCGTTGATAGCATCACAACATGCATCCTCAAGCTTCGCATCAGGCGCGCCCAAATTCTATGTTCAATCTCTAAAAGAAACTAAAAAGAGTCTATAACATAAAATATGTTGTAAGGATTATTTGTTATCCGCTATATAAGTAGATATTAAGCAACGTCCATGTATAGGAACTTCCATTCCGATTAATCCAATTAAAAACAAACAAAGAGACAAACATATATCCCATACCTACGATCTACAAAATAAAACACGATAATTTGTTTACAACATCTGACAAAAGCCTGTGAATTGGCTACAGGCGTGCCTCCAGATTTTGAGCGTCTGATTGCTACCTGCCAATGCAATGAGAGCACAATTCAAAACAGGTTCATCGGCAATTCTGTCCTCAGCCTGGCTCATCATCCTGCGACTCTCAGCCCAGCTCGCGATGAACGGAGCAGGGCAGAACTGAGCTGGCGACTTGTCCATGCGCTTCGCAAACTTCTGCATGTCATCCTGGACATATTATTGGCCCAACCATGCTACAAGTTCTGGAGGATGCCAGCTTACTTCCTGGGTATCATGGATTTTCCAAATCGGTCAACAACCAGTGCCAGGCTTGAACATGTAATTCAGCCAGCCTGAGAACAGAGAATGGCCCCACATTTCCGCATTTACCAAAGCATACCTTCGACCAAAAACCTCCATCCGCCATCCTCGGTCTTCCTGAGGCGGTCGTTCAGCTTGCCGTGAAGGTGGACCACGCGCTCCTTCAGGCTGCACTCCTCTGGGAGCTCCTGGCGAGCGAGGCTTGCCGACACAGCGCTCGCCGCGCGCAAAAAACCGCGGAGTCCATTGGGCGTGCAGGGCACGAGGCACGTGTTGTTTTTTCTTTTTCTATTCGTCTCAGCCTTTGAGCGCACTCGATTGAGTCTAGGAACTTGTCCAGACTTCAAGGCTGGAGACATGGGCGCCAATTCTCAGAGTGATCTGGCACCCGACAGCCAGGTGTCGCATGCGACTGGCCATCCTGCCGGCTTGAGAGGCTGCGTGATGCTTCTGTGACTGTCCGTCGAACACAATGACTTGTCCGTGTGTTCTCTGAATGATGCTGGCAAATTCATCGACAGTATTGCTCATTTCAACCAGTATCTTTTTGTCAACGAGGCTTGTGTTGTGTTTGGGTGCACGATTGTCCGCCAACCCTTTCTTCCCAAAAGAGGAGGCGCCTAGGAAGGGTGGAACATGTAGAACACACAGATCCTCCAGATTTATCATTTAGGTTCCGCGGGCAAAAATCCATATGGCTGCATGCATTATCCATGCAACCGTGAAGATGCCGGGGATGTTGCCTGTTTAGCTCTATTTCATTGTTTTGAATTGTGTAGCTATTGTTGCTTTTCTTGATTTGTTGCTCGATTGCTTTATTATAATCTGATTGTTGCGCTGGGAGCATGTACAAATGGTGTTGGGGCGAATATAAGTGGGTTTTTGGGCAGCTCGATTCCACCCGGGACAGTCTTAAATGGTCGACACCAACAGCATCAAAATGGTTGCAGTCAAGAAAATAGCTTTCAGTGGAGGTATATAGATGTTGTGCTGGAAATTGGAACAGCCTAGAGCCAGAATGAGGGGTTGTTGCAAAAATTGAAAATTGAGTGTTGCTCGGCACTCAGGGGGTGATGCTTAGCACTCAGGGGGAAGGGGCACTTGGCGGTTCGCTGGTTCATTTCTTTTGCTGGATGGCCAATTTGGTTTGCATCCTAGCATCGGTGAGTTCGGATTTCTTTAGGGTGTGGTTGAGGTTGGTTACGGTGGATTCAGTGTGGGGTTGACGGTGGGTTTAGGGATTGGTCGAACGTTGGAGGGTGCATTTAGAGTGGCTTGCTGAGGCCACGGAAACCGCAAAAAGCAACAAAAGCTACGAAAAACCACAGCAAAGCCGCAAAGCCACAAAAAAAAGCCCGCAAAAGCCCAAAAAGCTACAAATGCCACACAACAAGCAGCATAAATTCCTTAAAACGAAGAACCCAAACTCGCCTTCCCTTGGTCTTTGCAAATCTTTCATTGAGCAGCTGAAGCGCAAAGATACGGTTTGGAAGCCTTGCTAATACTAAGACTTGATTGTGGAACTGAAAGTGGCTGTTCCTCAATTTGCATCAAACCTTGAAATCGCAAGCGATTAGCGCAGGAAAATCTGTGCATTTGGAACTTGGTACCCCTCCTCGACCTCGAAGACCCTTTCAAAGCAACTTCTGCCAGATTCTGTGGGAGGACAAAGGAGGGAGTGTGTCATGTGTCCTAGGGCAAGTGACTGCTTGCCGATATGTCTCCCGAATTCACCTAAGGTGCAAATTCAAGCGGAAACTGAAACAAATGAGCCATTGATTGCTTTCCCCGAGACTACACCGGAAATTCAGGGTGTGACTGATTCTCTTGTCTTCCCGAATTGGATTGATCTCGTGTTGGATTTAGACTCGTCGTCCAAATCAAGGGGACCATCTCGTTTTACAGCGCTTTGTTTTCTACGCTTTCAAGCTTGCAAATCGCAAGTGTAGCGTGCCACGCTTTGGCAGCTCCAGCTCAAAAAGCACAACTTTTGCCTACAAGTGCAGCACGAAGTGTGCTGTGGCAGCTCCAGCTCGAAATTCGCTACACAAAAGTTGCACTTCGGTACATGTGCAGCATGTGAAGTGCGCTTTGGCTTGTTCTGGGCTCGTTGCTTTTGGCCCGAAGCCAGTTGCACGCACAGCATGACTTGATCTCGTCTGATCTCATTTTGCATCGTGTTCGAGAGGATAAGGAATCCGGGAATCTTAGAGCGGCTGCTCAGCCACTCAGCCACAGGAAAAACACCACGCAAGATTCTGAATGGCTGCGTGGCTGAGTGGCTGAGCGGCTGAGAGGCTGAGTGGCTGAGTGGCTGAGCGGCTGGGCGGCTGAGTGGCTGTGTGGCTGAGCGGCTGAGCGACGCTTGTCGAGTAAAAGGGCACACCTCCCATGAGTCCACCTTAATTGCATCAATAATGGGTGCCCACCAACATTTCTCCTGAAGCACAAACACGCTGCTATTTGGAACAACATAGAAGCATTGTCTTCTGTAGATATGTGTCATTGCCAGCTCTCTTCTCCGTCTGAGCCCCTTCTGCAACTGGCTGTTATCGTACTCAAGCATCCCATGCCCTAAGACTAAAGGTCTCATGCTCATGCAAGCCCACACACTCAGCAACTCGGCACTTCACTGAGTGGCTGGGTGGCTGCATGAATAAAAATCCACCAATACGCGTTCAATCTGTCATTCTGCAACACTATCTCTTTCTGATCTCGATAGTTTGGGAGGACCATCTCGTTTCACAGCGAAACCTCAACTGTGTAGGGTTATGACAGTATCAGTACAATTTTATATGCACACATCCTTGCGCATCATTGTTTGTTGTGGAATTCCACACCTTCTGCGTTTGGTCCTAGGTTGTTCCATGGGTTTTGCTGATGGTTGCCCCATGGCGTTCCCAGCTTTTTCGCCTGGCTGTCGCATGGTGTTCCCTTTTTTCCATTGGTTTCCCGTGGCCTTGCCATGGTTCTCCCATGGCTTTCCCATGGTTGAATCACTCGCACACTTGCATCGCAACTATGCAAGTTTCGTAGTGACACAAATTGGGCGGGACTCCATTGCACAAAACCCCCAGCATGCCTCAGCCATAGGAGGAGAAAATTGATGATCTCGGCTCATCAAAAACAAAGTCCCCAATGTGCTGGGCGGCCTGGCACGAACGACATGCCGCAAGTGCGACTCTCCCGTGGCCGCTCCAACGCTCTCCCGTTGCGCCTTTGTGGCATCGAAGCCCTGGCGATGGCAATCGAGGAAGAAGTGCTGCAGCTGGGCCATGGAAACCTGGCACGAGCCATTGGAGCCATTGGAGCCATTGGAGCCATTGGAGCCGTTGGACCTAGCCGTTTGAAGCTGCCAAGGCACTTTGCGCTCGGCAATGCGTCCGCCTTACCGGACATGTTTCGGGAAACGAACTCTGACGAACTAGGTCTCTGGCCAACGGAAGTCCCAAATGCAACAGCAGCTTCCTGCTGCCCTGGATAGAAGGTAAGAAAGTATTTCGCAGCGACGTCTTTGTTCCTCGGTGCTGTTCAAATGGAATCTGTCCTACCAGGCGTCATGCCTACCGTGCTGGCGAAGCTTCGGCTTCTTGAACTCTGCTTTCAAATCAATCCGCCCAGGTCGCATGACTGCTGGGTCCTCAGCTCAAGTCAAACGCGGACCAGAGGAAAACTGCACTCCTCTCACCTCGGATGAATCTGGTGGGTCCCCTTTCAGCAGGGGAATGATCCACTTTAGGGGGTTACCTGGCTGGAGGCGTCCTCCGGATTCATCCGAAGCTAACATTACCAAGATTGTTATGCTGGTCAATTTCGGCCTCACTATAACCTTGATGCAACAAGGTAAGAAATAGAACCACCTACTATCATGGCCAATGCGGGCTTTGCGCGCTGCTCAAAACAACAACTAAGATCTGCGCAAGCTTGTCTGGATGATTAGTCGTCATGAAAATCACAACATCATCAGGAGCTCCCAAACCATCCAAGCAGTTGAGAAAGCCGCTGAATGACCTCATTGATCGTTGGTCATGCATGAGCACGCTACCAGCTGCTGCCACTTCTGCAGCCGGAGTGCAAGGATGAGTTGTTGTGATCTGCTTCGCGGTGATTTGTGAACAAGGCATCTACATCCTCCAGCACGACCATCGACAGCGATGGCAACTGCGTCATCGCATTTCCTGGCAGTGCCATGCTGTGTTCATGTTAGATCCTCCTCTAGGTGAGAAATACATCCATGAAGCAAGCCCAGCTTGAAAACGACGCAGGCCAAGGCTCTGAAGGTATCATCCGTCATGTGCTTATCCATTTGGATGAAGCACAGGTTTCGCTGGATGTGCCCAGCCACAGAGTTCATGAAGGACGTCTTGCCGGTCCCCGGCTCGCCATGGAGCAGGTAGCAGCGATGGTAAGGAATCCCGTGCTTCGCGTAGAAGGTCCTGGTCTCGTCCTTCAGGAACCACTCAAGGTCGTCCAGCAACGGCATTTTCACGCCTTGCCCGGCTTGAGTTTTTCGAGATGCCCCCCCTTTTCCCCTTTTTTACGACTTGTTAAAAGCGGAAGGGTAAACTTCCCAATCCGACAGCGCTAAAAAGCGCCGAGAGGCTCTCTTCTAAGACAATGCTGTCCAAACTACGGGCCATGCGTCTCGAGATGCGGGACCAAAAGTGGTATTTGGTGTCGAATCGCCACAGAGATACGCGGTTCCTTCGACACGGTGCAGTGCATCTCTCACCGGGGAACAGCAATCGAGCACCGTGAACAAGCTGTTGGTATGAAGGCTGTTCCTACTAAGGCTGCGTCGCTTTTTGCTTGGTTTCATTGTCAGCTGCCTGGGAGAACGAACAGTAGTCACAGTATTTGAAATGGATTTCCGGTGTCAGTGGAGCCAAGCAGCTTTCTGGCAAAGCTTCAGCAAAGGTGTCTGCTCAGGGCCCTCCACAAAGAGAACCAGCGAAGTGAAGAACGCGGGGCCGTCGCCTTAGCCGCTTCTGGGAGCTTCCTCGATGGACATTGGCGGTTTGGCCCCACTGGCCTGTGGGTTGTCCAATGCGCTGCAGAACCACTGTAACGATCGTGCTGCGCTCATCCCACTGGAATTCGAAAGAATGCCAACCTGGGATGCTACGAAACATGCTGCAACTTAAATATCAGGATACCTGGCAACACCACTGTTGGATTGCACAGCAACTCTGGATCTCTCACAAGCACGCGGTGTGCCAACTGCGTCAAGCAACCAAGGCCGATATTGGCAGATGGCATCTGAACTTCTCGCTTTCGCTTGCGACTGGCTCCGCTGACCTCCCGTCTATATATTTCACTCAACATGGTTCAGCAAATGGTATCCAAATCCATCGTGCCTTGCCCTTGCCCTTGACCATGACCAAAAGATCATCGATTTCATCATCATCTGCCTTCGATTTCCAAGCTCCAGCAACCACTCCATGTGAGTTGCAGCTGCTGCCAATATTATCAGACCATCTAACTGGACTTGAGTAATTTCAAGATCACCCACCTACCTAGTTTTCATACGGAAAATAGGTGCTCCGATGTTCTAAGCCGCGTATAGACCCATGTCAAAACTTGGACACCTCCTAGCTCTGGCCAGGGCACTCCAAGACCTCGACCTTTCCCCATATCGGCACGAATGCTCTGGGCATTCTGCACCTTCCGGGATCCGCTGGATACGCAAGAAAGGAGCGCAATCGGTGTGCCGACTGAGCCCTCCGCTGCTTTGCTCACGTACCGCAGCATATAGCTGAAGAGCGGCTCCTTTGTTTGAGACTTGTCTCCATGATGTCTCCCACGGACTGCCCATGTCCCGAAAAGATCTCCTCATTGGATTGCACCTCCAAGAAGACCGCCTTGCTCACGTCGTACTTCAAGTACTGCTTAGCCTGAGAAAAGTCTTCTCGAAACAAAGCACCCCATTCGCTGTCTCTCAAGCGGCTGATCTTCGCGCCTCCTCTTTCCAAAAAGGGCATGATGATCTTAGCGGTTCCGCCATAGCAGCATCACTTGGAGTAGCCATGCCGTTCAAGTCACTTGAAGGCTAGTGGTTCCTTCATGCATCAGTGTCTGGTTGCTGGGCTCTCATCAAGCACAGTCCAAAGAATCACCCATGACTGTCACGACGGGGGGGGTGTTAAAATGGTGACTTCTTGTTTGCATAGTAAAGGGCACAAATGTTCTACATGCTCTGCTTGTGCAAGGAATCTTGCATGTTCTGCAGTGAGTAGTCCATTGCTCGGTTTGGGCTGCATGGTTCCCAAGTTCTCAGTTTTGAGCAGGACCAGCTTCGGGAAGAAACAAGTCTCCAGCACAAGACTAAACCGCACACAGTGTACACATGAAACAGCTCCACCAGCGCAAATCCCAGATTGGTCTTTGGAATGGCAACCATTCAGACAAATCCTAAGCGCTCTGTGCAGGTCCCGGAGGTTCCTTCGGGCCCCTCAATCCGATGTAAGCCATCGGAGCTGGCAACCGTATGCTTTGCTATTGGAAAAGCGGTGCCACACGTCTGCTGTCAGTTTGCGACCTCAATGGTTGTCATGTCATACCGGCATCTTGCGACAGCAAGTTTAACATAAATGTCGTGATTTCAGGCTCTGAAGCATCTTTGCATTCAAGGCAATGCTCCTTGTCTCCCTCTCCTTGTACGCCCACGCTTTCACCCATCCTGCAATCAGCAGCTGATGTTAAGCCAACCTTTCATGATCAGTCGGGTGGCAACCATGAGCCACGAATGAGTATTGTAGTGATAGCTGTTGCTGGTTCGACACTCTGCGCAGATGAGTCGATTCTGGCGTGCGCAAATGAGTCATCACCCCAAGGAAATGCCATCAAGACTGCACACCAAAGTTGACTTGAACATCTCGCATCAACGGCAAGAATTGTTCTCGTCAGGAGCGATTTATCTGCGCACATGATCCTGTGCGTTTGGGGGGGGGGGGGGGCGGGAGGGAGAGGGTATGCCAACAATCAAAGACCCTGCAAATCTGCACACGCCAGCAACACGCAGCGGGGGATCGGGAGGAGGGGTGCCTGAACAAAGCGGGGTGGGGGGAGGAGGGTGTGATGACGATCGAATCACGAAGTGGGTGGGGGGGGGGCTGCTAACGCCGGCTTCTTTCGAGCCATGTCGCAGCAACAGCATTGCAGCGGTTCTTTGGACAAGGTCTTATCAGAAGGTGTCTATTGAAGATCTCTGATGGCGGCATCCCAAGTTTGTCGACTCTCTCCAAACTATGGGGGGAAAACATTCAACCGTCGCGCTATGTTGCCAACGTTTTGCAAGGTCGCAACACCGACGACACAGTTACATGCTTTGTAACCCATATGAAATCCTGTGCACATGCCACTGAATACACCTGGCCCGACGTGCACAGACGAGACGCGCATACAGAGCACTTTTTTTTTGCAAGGGTCTGCAAATTGCAGGGCCCGACGTGCACAAACGACAAAATATCGACGTGCACAGACGACCCACGAACCTTTCCTTGTCAGGCCCCACAATCCAACAATAGCTGTGCGGGCGCACATTGGAGTGAGCACCGTCTTCAGATTTAGGGTTTAGGATCGGTGCTGCTGGTGCCAGCGCAAACGACGATGGCAGGATATACAAAATCACAGCATTGATCATCACAAAACAAAAACAAACATCGTCATGGAGATGATGGTGACGATGCACAGTATTTCATAGTGCTTTTGGGCAGGGAGTCTACAGTCTCCATCACTCTATGCGGCACGGCTGACTCTGAGTTGCTTCAAAGCACCCGAGCCGAGCGGGCCTGTTGATGCCCTTGCCGAGCCGCTCGATGCCTTTCACCAGCATCACCAAGTCCTTGCGGCCAATGCGACTCAAACCGCAGCTGAGTCACCAAAAACCCCCGGCGTCAGCTCCAGGGCTGATGGCCCCTCTTCTGCTCTTAGTGGCAACCCGCCCTGTGCCTTGTTCTTGGCCACTCCCTTCAGCTGGCTCATGCCTGGCTTACATGACAGCCAGATGCTCGGTGTTTTCTCCGAACTGCCCATGACTCTCAAAACGGTTTCTTGGAAGCCGACGTGTTTCCAAATCACAGAGAGACCGCGAAACCCCCTCGACGCTCGCGCCTTGCATGAACTCCGAGAGGTCCAGCTCCCCCTGACGCGAAAAAGGCACGAGGCGGACGAGGCGCACGAGGCGGACGAGGGTATCGAGCCGCCTCCCCACCGGTGTCCAGCAAGGCAAAGAGCTCCATGGCCTGCTCTTCCTTCAACCTCTTGGCATGGAAAGAAACTTCCGGCGCGGCCAGGGCCGAAAAAATCGGAAGTGAGGAACCGGCCCAAGCATCATGAACTTGTCACAAATCGCCTGATCCTTGAAAGCCTGGGACAACCATACCCATGATAGACCATTTGCACTCGCAGGCTCAAGTCATCTGAAAGCAAAATGCGGCGCGTTGAAATGTGTGGCCTCCTTGAACTCAGCAAGGCTGACGATGCCGCTTCCATCCTCATCGATCTCGCGAAACATCCTGAGAGACTGAACTGGACTGGCAACGATCTTGTAAATCAACTGACTCAACTGATGGCAAGCAAAGCTACCCCTCGCCCCGACCGAGCGCAGGGCTCTTCCAGCTCTTTCATCTCGCGCTCTTGCTCTCGCTTCCGAATAAGTGCCATCCTGACAAAGACAAACCAAAAGAAGAACGTGTCGTCTTGGCAGCACCACAGGCAAAAGTCAGGTTGCCACTCTATTGCATTCAAGTTTCTCTTTCTCATCGCCTTTCGACATATCCATCGCTTGCCTAAGATGCTGAAACCCTTAGCAGCTCACTAACTGAGGTATCTGGGTTTGCAGCTGGACAATGACGGCCGTGACCAGATTCAACAGGACAAAGGACGACAGTGCCGTAAACAGCCACAAAAAAATCCTGGCTGGGGCAAAAGTGAATGCACATCATGCAAATGTCAAGCACGCAAGGTTGGCCATATGAACGGCAATTCTGTCACCAGCGCATCCTTGCTGACTGAAAAACTCTGCTAGTGTTACTTGCAGCTGCTGGTACGTGGATCAAATGGCTGTGGGTCAAAATATGTACCAAAATGGACCCCTGGTAAGTGGAAACATGGACCAAAACCTGCGGTTCATATCCTGGTGGTTTAATTTGACCCATGCCCAAATAAGCACAGGACCATTATGCCCTGAGAGTCATCTCCATGCATGAATCTGGTTAGAGTCAGCATGGAGGCACTGATGCCTGCCGCAAGGTGCAGCATAACTGTTGAATCAGCGGCACTTGGCCGGCCTTTGAACCTCTCTTTGGCCTCCTTGGCATCATCTGAGGCAGTCTCGCCGAATTCTTGGAAGCCAATCCTCAGGCCGCTTAGCATGTTCTGAGACAAGTCCAGCTAGTCGATTGGGCACGGGCAGTTCACAGCAAAAGATGGCAAAGACGTAGAGGTTGCACACGATCAGGCTCATAGCTGCAACGCGGATGTCATTCCAAGCTCGGCCGCATGTTAACTCTCAGTTCGGTGTGCAGACCGAACCTGAAAGTAGAGTACCGCCGCTGCTCACCAATCCACGCACCAACCTGAAAGCTGTCGAATATAATTTTGGCTAGCCCTGAGTGAGGGATCTTGGGGTCAGACTTCCATAGGTCTTCAAAAGCACCAACGTGCTTGAAGGTTTTGACCTTGTAAGCGTCTCGCACAAAATGACCATCCTCTGCCGGACAGCTTGATTTTTATTGGAAATCATGCTTCTGCTAGCAAACACTCTGAGTACATCGGCTCAAGTGCACGATGCAAACGTATCTTGAGGCACGGGCTAGTTGCACAAAGCGAAGCATTCGAGCAATGCGGAAGAATTTGAAAAGGTCACTCCTCAACAAGTGGGCAAAAGGCAGTGCAAATCAGGTCATGGTTGAAGAAACTCCAACACGCATAGTTCGATCAGCATGCATGTGGCCGTGATACAGGTGCGAAGTGTTCCGCAGCCAGCTCTAAGGCTGGTGCATCTCCTCTTCAATCTGGAGTGGTTGCATGATCTGGCCACAGGGAACATGCTCGCTTGCCCTGATCGATGTGCCAGTCTTACATGATCGAACCTTTCCAAACGTGTCAGGCTGGCCCAAACCACAATGACACCCGGGCACCACACAATGAAAGTGTCCATCCAAGGACTGATCTCCTGCCCATCCAAGCTACATCGACAATTTAGCTGTGTAAGTCTACCATGACTGTTGCACTACCATGGCTCCTTAAACCACCGTCGTCCAAAGACCACTACTCTCAGGCACCACTCCAGCAGGAAGAATGCGGTGACCTGTGCTGTCTGGAGCATTTCGAGAGCTTACACGCAATTGGCAAAAGTAGGCACGACGGGTCATAGCATGAACCATGATCGGGGTCCGGCGTGGGGAGGGGGTTGGATACAACCACTCTAGCGAAAATAGTGGGGGGCCGTTTTGTTCAAAAGTAGGCGGCGCGCCCCCGGCGCGAAAAGGAAGCGGGCGATCCGACCCGTTATAAGAGGATCCAACCCCCGCTTTGACCAAAAAATCCCGGGGAGCGCGGCCCCCCACCTTTCAATAGAACGTCACCCCCCCAACCGCCGCCAAAGAGGACCAAAACCAGCCAGCCCCAAGAGGACCAGAGGCTCCTCCCCTTTGCGCGCCTGCCTGGCCTTGAAAAACAAGTGTTTGTAGATCGAAGGCCTTTACTCTCCAGGCTGCGCGCGCCAGCAGATTTGAAGACGTCGCGCGGACAAGCTCGACAGAATTTAGAAATTGGGGCGTTGTTTGGTCAAATTGTGTAATTCTACAAATAGGCATTGGGGAGCTCAACCAGAAACCATATCAAAACGCGCAAGGCTGACCCGAGCCAAAGCCGGAGTCAAAGCCGCCGGGTCCGATCATCTGTTAGCACGCGCCACGGCAGTCATGTGTTTTTTCTACCTCAGCTGACACGGTTGGCTTGCCAATCCCGTTGCCAACGTCGACGGCTGGGTTCAACACAATTGGCTTTCACTCTCGAAAACCTCGTTGGGTTTTCTGGCCAAATCGCGCCAGAGGGTAGGGCCGCTTGTAGCCTTTTGGAACTCGCCCCACCACCTCCACCCGCAGCTCGCAATCCCATAGCCTGATCCAGCTCAACGTCACTGTCACCTGGGCCTCGCAGCTGCACATGTGGCGAAGGAGCATTTGATCTTCTGGAGCTGGAAGCACGCGGCACGTCGCGTCTGCGTCCAAGTATTCTTCATCCGAGCCCTCCTCCAGCCCTCCATTGCAAGAAGCAAAACGCTTGCAAGGACCAAAGCTCTGCATCTTGTTCCTGACGCGTCGCCCTTCTTGTTCCGTCATCCCTGCGCATTCTGTTTTCAAGCGGATCATCTCTTTGAACTGGTGCCTCTGCATCCACCCACGGCTCTGAAAGATCGACTGCTCCAGCTCCTTGATCTTCCTGAGCTTCTCTGGGTCGGCATTCGGGGGGCATTTGATCTCCACGAGCTCGCGAATGGTTTCGTTCACGCGGAGTCTTATGTGACCGTCGGTGATTTCCAGTAGCCATGAGCCGTAAAATTCCTCATCGCGGCCAGTTCGCTCCTGCCACTTCATAATGACGCGCTCGTCAACCAGGTCAGCCAAACTTTCGACTGGCTCTGCCTCAGGCATCAGAACATGGAGCGCGGATTGAGCTGGCCGCCCAGAGACCTTGATCTCCACGTGGTCTGCGCAGCCGTCCCACAAAAGTCTCGCGAACGTTGCTGCGTGACAGGTCTGCTCGGCATTTGCCACCCAAGGCCGGATATCGCTGCGCCACCATTCGCAAAGCGCGTGCTCCACTTTTGCCCTTAGGGCTGGCGGCAACTCTTTCTGAGGGGACTTGGTTCCAAACCCTAGCGTTGCCTGTGGGCGTGGCAATCTCAGAAAGCCTCTGCTTTCCTCCGGCTCACGCAGCAGAAATGGGCCCAGCACTTCTTCGCCTTCCAGCAACCCCTCCCAGTCTGCAGGGGCGTCTGACAGGATTTTGCTGAGGCGCGCGTCCACCATGGCATTGATGTCTTCAACAACCTGGTTGCAGCGGGAAAGCAGTCCAGGCACTTCAGCATAGTTGCGCTGGAAGTACAGATACTTGCGCTGATTCCAATGCTCCGGGTCCACGTAGTAGCCTTTGAGAAAGAGCGCCAGTTCCTTTTTGTAGCATGCTTCCAAATCTTGCGCATTCTTGTCCGTCCACCAGTGCACTGCGCCGGGCTGATCCCGCTTGCGCTTGCCGGCCAATTTCGGCGCCATAGCGGGCAAGTGGAGAACTGCGGTGATATACTGCAGTGGATCCAGGAGTACATGACACATATTATTTGGTAGCACAAATCCACTTGGTCCCCAACTCACTGCAGAAAAGATTGCTGGTACTAACAATGTATTGCTTTCATCCTCAAATACCTCTCTCATTCTCATTATAACCTGACATGTCATACTATCATGTTTACCTTTTCCCCACTGCATTTCTTTGGATTTGGTGTTGTGCCAAGAAGAATCCTTTCCAGACTCTTTTCATTCTCGGAATGACCGGTCATCTATTAGATCAGGAATATCCCATCTGTGCTATCAGTTCTGAACCCTGTTCATAATTATATTCTTCTATACTTGTGACACATGTCTGATGATCTGTCTGTGCCATGGCAGCCATTGCGAAGCTAAATTCATTGCAATCATTGAAACTCTGACCGTGGCTCGCATGGCTGGGCTCCTGACAGCGCTCTCCGAGAACTGTATGAAGAATGGGTAGTCCACTCCATCGGTCTGCAGGCAAATGACCTTTGCTTTCAACCCACTGCTCCTGTCACAACCGGATGTTCAGCTCCGGGCAAAAACGCTGTAGCAGATTGCGCATCCACATGCGATCTCAAACTCATCGGAGCACACAAATACCTCGCGCCACTGGGGCTTGAAGACATGGGCACAGCTACCACTTGGCCTGCAAAGGTCCCGCTGGCTTCGCCTCCTCGGCTGCTGGAAAGGATTCTGGGCGAAACTGCCGACTCCATCTACAAAAACGCAACTCCCCAATCAGGGCTTTTGCCGACGGCTTGGCAGCCGACAATGACCTGCACTCTGAGCAAAACACCTCCTCCAATGACGCGTCCACTAGCTTTGAAGCGACCTGGCCGATCTCTGACGAATGTCTGGATCAGTGCCGAATTTGCGACTAACAGTTTTGGCTGCTCCCCTCCCTTCACTCGATCTTCTTCTTTGCCTTTTCACGATTTGTGAAGGGTCATGAAAAAGTGTCGCCAAGCCAGGAATATTTGCGAAGATGTGTCGCAGACTTGGGCTGAAACGAAATGGTTCCTTCAGCCCCCCTCTTTGATGAAATGCCAACATACTTTCGGCGGAATCCACAGGACAGAAACAAATATTTCCAGGTTTCATCAAAGCCGCTTTAATTTGTTTCTTTTTTTGTTCTTGCGAAAGTAACGATTCGAGCTTTAAGGCTTCGGGCGGCTTCAGACTTTCGAGAACATGTTGTTCGGTCACCATGTCACCCCTCTCAAGAACTTCATGAGATCATTCGTGTGGGAAAGTTCTGAGGCATCAAGATCACACGGAGGGAGTGGCGTGAGATCTGCCAGCATAGACTCATTCCATGTTGCAGCCTCAGATTTCTCCTGCCTGGGCTTCAGACTCTCCTCCCTCCTTCGCACTGTCCTGCCGAGCTTGAAAGTTGAAAAGCCCTTCTCCCACAAGCACATGTGAGCCGACATCATGTCAAATGGTGGTCTGGAAGTCGATACAAGCAAGCACGCAAATGGAGCAAAACCAACTTATCTCTTGGCCTGCAACAGTCGCCCGCTGTTTGTCTCAAAAGTCTCAGACAAGTTGACTCAACTGCCAAAGTTCACTTGGCCTCCAAGGTCACCTCGACCTTGAACTCACTGGCAAAACCCCCAACTCTTCCAATGCTCTGTACGTAACCTGCCGTTTTAGGCAAGCCAAACCACTGCATGTCACCGAACACAAAGCGCAAGGCCAAGCGCCCAGCTTGCGGCGCCACTGCGGAGGGCTTCCGGTCAGTCATCGAGGTGCAGCAAGCCTGACATCACAAAACGAGTGCAAAGATGTAAAGAGTATATGGCCATGGGTCAAAAATAGGTACCCAAACTGGGTTGCCCCGGCAAATGGAACCAAGGAGCAAAACCTGCGGTCCCCTGCATGCTTCAGCAAAGGGCTCCTGCCTGCACCGGAACTGCCAACTGCGCATCAGTGCTGCCGGCACCGACTTCGGCATCACTTACAGTGCAGTGCACAAACACAAGCGAAGTAACGAATGCTGGACAATCATCGAGGCTTATTAAACATCCGACAGGCTCGGCTTACCAAGCTACATGCCTGGACCTGTCATGCATCCTGCAAGGCTTAGCCTTGAGACAAAAAGGAAGGCGTCTGAGCTGGCGCAACGACCGCGAGATACGCCGTGAAGCTGCCACAAAGCTGCAAAGCAAGCGCCTTTTTGGCTCCAAATGTTTTGAGGTCTGTGATCTTGTGATCTTTTGATGTCTCTCGCTGCTCTCCGATCAACGGCGTGGCTGCAGGATGGCATAGCTCTGAGCTCCGCCAACTGCAACACTCAGCCCCTTGTACTCGTCCTTGGCAGCAATCAATATGCGCACCGAAGCAGGAAGTGTGGCCATGCCCAAGGAAGCATCTCAAGTAGCCATTTGGTCGAAACACTCTCTGCTCGGAATTAAGCTAGCGACGAAGGGAATGTCATCCACAGCCTGTGGCTTGACGAAGGTGTCATCAGACTCGTCGCCAATTGCTTGCTTCTGCCTGTTGTACCTTAACCAAATCGACCCAAACGAGGCACTCGCTCAAACTTGTCGCTGCCACTAGGGGCGAGGCCCCCAGCCGCGGAGAGTGCCATCCTTAGGCGCGACCGCGGTGCGTTCCATTGAGCCCAAGGCTCAGCAATGGCTCCAGGAGCGCTGCATAGCACACCAGGACTCCGTGAGCCTGTCACTAGCGTGACGGTGTCCCTCAAATATTTGGAACCTATTTCGAGAAGCTTCCTTTTGGTTTCCCTCCAACCCAAAAGGGCAACCACTCCAAAGACGTTCCCTCCAACCCAAAAGGGTAACTCCAAAGACGTTGCCACAGTGACAGTGTGGCAAAGGCAAGACTGGCCTCACCCACCGAGGCTTCAGTGACAACTTCCGTCATGACTTCAACACCGGTGGTGCTGACCATGTCCATGACACCAGCCTGGCCAATCGCGTTCAAAAACAAAAAAGAATGACAATGTCAGAGTAGGGGAGCAACCACCAACACCCATTGACTGTTGGTTCAGCATATTTGTGAACTTTGTCGGAATTTCACCAATCTGCCAAAGTACAAAACTGCATGTTCACAAGATGGGAAGAAACAAAACGATGCCACCCAGCCGGCCTCCGCTTGCGGACCTGAAAATTCAGACGAATCCACACGGAACGAGGCCGACTTCGAGGCGCCGGCCGCCCCCGTAGCCTCCTTTGGACATCTCTGGTGCAGGTCCTTCGCCATCCTCGCCCTATGGTCAAAAGGCTGTGGGTCAAACATAGGTACCCAAATGGAAGCCTGGCAAGTGGAAACATGGACCAAAACCTGTGGTCCCCTGGTGGTGGTTCAATTTTGACCCATACCCAAAACAGACCCAACGCGCTCCGAAGGGCAGCTTCGACTGTAAGCTGCAGCAATGCACGGCCCTAGGCGTAGACCCCGGTAAGCCATTTGCAACTGAGCTGGCCACTTGCTGCATGTCAGCAATGCTTGGGCCCTCACAGAGGCCAATGACTTGTACTTAGATGCTTTGCAAAGCTCATAACTCTCTCTGAGCTGGCATGTCAAACTGCAATACATTGACAGCAGGGCCTCTGCTCGGATGCCGCCGCAAATAATTGGCCGGGCACTCTCAGTGATGTATGCCTGCCGTCGGCATGCATTCAGGAAGAGCCCAGCTGCAAGTTGAGGCAGGGGCTGTACACTGCCAGCCAGCCCGCACCCTCGACACTGGATCGCCCAGCGGTACCTCGACCTGACGAGCAGCTCAAGGTTCAGGGTGAGCTGTACTTTCTCGCTTCTTGACGATGTGCGAAACAGTGCACACTCAAAGTCTTTAGCGGCTGACCGGCTCCGGAAAGCATTGACGCATGGCATGTCCCAACCTGCAGCGACCGAGTGCTTACCAACACATGCAAGTGGGCATCAACAAAGCTTGAGGATAACCGTTGATATTCACATAAGTGCATTAGGTATCTGTTCTGCACCTTGGAGTGAGAGAGTGAGAAGTATTGGCAACGCACTCTTTCACCACACGCATTGAGCGCTGAACTGCCCATTGGTGTTCGACCCCCAACCTGAGACCAGCAGCAGCGGAAAACAAGACTATACCTCGCAATGCTGTGTCTGTGTCTTACCTGGGCTTTTCCATGCTTCGGCGTGCCATGGCATTCGTGCGAACAAAGCGCGCCATCTTGCCATCATCCCATCTACTGTCATTCATGCATCATTCAGGGAGGAAATGAGGTCCAGACCGAAAACTCTGCAGCTCTTTGTGATGGCCACTGTGTGGCCACCTCCACCTCAGCTCGCTCACCTTTTTGTGGGCCAAGATGCTCAGTTGACCCTGTGTCTGTGAGAGGTCACGTAAGGTAATGCTTCCGAAGGGCTTCTGACCTACATGTGCCAACTACACTTATGAGAGGCGTAGGCAGCCAGAGGCTTCAAATGAAGGAGTGATTTTGTTTTTGCTCTTTTCGCATTTGAGTTTGCATGTATTCTGGGAAACAAAACAGGAACTTATCTGCATCTGGTCTTTTTTGTTTACGTTTGCTAAGGGAAATTTTAGGTACCTACTTACATCTAGTTTTGGGTTTCTGTTCTTTTTTGATTAAATGAGATGGATGCCGTTGCGGGGAGAACGGAGGAAAAAATCCACTAGGGCCTGGAAATGTAAACTCAATGTACATCTGGGGCCAAATGGTCCAAAAAATGTCAAAACAATTGTAAATCTGCGCCAAACCGTTCCGCACACGTAAAAACAAACGTAAACGAATGTGAAAAAGAATATAATGAGTGTGTGTGTGTGTGTGCGTTTCTTGTTTTTTAGAGAGAAGTTGCAAGAAATGCTGCCCCAAGCACCTGTCAACGCCTGACTGCCTCTCTGGGGGGTTTGGGCCGGAAGGCCAAAATGTAGTAAAAATGCAAGTGTAAAAGGCAAACCCCAGACCTAAGCCCCGAAAGCGGTCGCCAAGCGCCCCAAAATAAGGGTACAACGGAAAGGGAAGAGGAAAGCGGAAAGACGGTCACGGCGTGCAAACGAGCCTGCGAACTTTGCCATCAAACCAAGCTTGCACACCACACCCACAACATCCTGATGCAAAGAAAACTCTATACCAAAAAACAACAACAAACATGTTTGACAAAATGATGCGTTTCTGGACGCTCTGGCCAAACCAAGGCCCTAGCATGCAAAGTCTATGATCTCCTCGTTCTCCAGGAGACCTTTGACCTCTCAACATCTGGGAACGTGGGCACCCGTCGTTGTCCTGCGTCCCTTGATTCCTGTCCCTTGCTGCACAGAATTCCTAGAGTCCAGTGCTCGGCCTGATTCGGCCGCTGCTGACCAACTCTTCCCTCTCCGTGCAAGCCCCAGCCTCAGTGTGTGACTTGTCGACCCGGTATTGAAATGGTCGACCCAGAAGGCGGCCGCAGCTATTTATGGCTGAGATTGTCCCTTAATAACCTTAATCTACCTGGGTTTTGATTGTGGCTCATTTGCGGCAAGACGGTCAAGACTGCACAACCGCCCGTGCCTAGCTGACCAAAATCGTTGTAGCCCCAGGTGTAGAGCTGCCAAGCAACAGCTTCCCAGCTACACCGGCGAATGATCCAGCAGAATCCCGGCCTTGCCCTCTTTGGTGAGCGCTCCCATGTGCTGATCGCCAGCACTCACGCGCATTATCTTGAGGCCCTGGTGTGCTTTTGACATGCGTTGACCTTTCATCAATATCTGTATGATTTCAAAAGCACTTTGATTTAGTTACGTAAGTTGACATAAGCACATAAGCCACAGCTCCTTCAGGCCCATCTCACCCTTGGCCTCGTAGCCATTGCACCTGATTCCAAACATGCCCCCATGCCTAGAGCCGCTTGAGGCACTTGAGTCACTTGAGGCACTTGCCAAGTGTCTGTAAAAAGCCTGGGGAAGTTGGACGCCTTGCAGGGTGACAGCTGGGAGCAGGCATGCTATTCACTACCAACCAAGCCTGGAATCGCCCCCAGCTCCAAACCTCCCCTCGCTTGGTGACGCCTATGGTATAGTTGCCTGCAAAGGGCAGGACATCGCACGGGCGTTCGGCTGCTTTGCCAACTTGAGGACTCTCAAGTTTGTCATGCATGGATTCAATGACTGCTATCAAAGACGTGTCATGGGTTCGTGCCAGAGTCTTGCCACAAAATCGTAGAATCTGTTGAGAATGACGACGACCATGACCGCTCTTTCAAACTGCATCTGCCACCATGCCTCCAGCTGCAATCTGCGAGATGTAAGTCTCGTATGGCAACTCAGTCAACCTTGGCTTCCACCACACGCTCCCGTACTGCGCCCCTTCTGCAATGCTTAGCAGGCCACGATGGAAGCGCGCGGTTCTCCTTGCCCGCTCGGCGGTCGTGCAATCGGAGCCAGTCCTGACTCGTCCTCATCGCCAGTTCCCAGCTGTGCGAAGTCGTTCTTGCCCCATGCCTTGACACAAAGTTTGGGCTGCATAGGCTGTGCCCAAGTCCGGACAACTGAGATGCTAGCAACAACGCGACCGCCCTCCGTCAGTGCAACCGCGTGCTCTTTGCCGACACTGATCTGCCAAAATAAAGGTGAAATCCCTTTGAGTAGCGCCAAGGCAGGCCTGGCTTATTCGCTTGCGCTGAAGCGTCAGGACGGGCGATGGCGTCTCGCCTGTACACTTCGTGCCATCTGATCTCGGCAAATGTAGAAACTTGCCTTTCGGATCACTCCAGGAGTTGGCACCCCAAAAGTACACGACATTCTCCTCGGCAACTAGTACAGGTCGGGTGAGTCAAGTTATTCAAGCTGAGTCAGCAGCGGGCATCTTTCCGGGGGGAGACCTCAGCCGAACAACACTCTTCACGAGCACTGGAACCTGGACACATCATACTTTGGTCCATGCAAGACTACAGGTAACTGAAAGTGACATGCAGCATGTTTGCATACTCCAGGAAAAAGTATGGCTCTGTGCAGAAATTCGGCTTCAGGTGCAAACCATGTCTGTCGCAATGTCTGGCGGATGCGTCTCGCACGCGCGGCGCACTACTTCGCAGCAATCAAGCTGCACTTGCGACGATTTGGGGAGTGGGAAAGTGTGGTGTGGTTCATGAAGCATGCTTGTAGCTGGACTCACTTGCAATTCACAAAACTGACTCTGGGTGGGTGTTTTTCCTTGCGTCGGTTTTGTGGGGAAATGCTTTCACAAATGCTGCTGTCACATTCTCATCGTTTTGCTTGCGCTTGCTTTCTGCACATGGCATTTGGACAAAAATACAACAATTCCGAACCAGACTCAGTCTATATACAGAAGTACGTGTTCGTTGCTTCTCTCTGGTTCTTCGTGCGAAGACTGCTGTTTCTACGCATCCAATGCGCAAAACGCTTCACAAAACAATCCAGGTTCAAGCGTTGCATGCAGGATATTGACATACATGATGTTGGCTAGTCAGCAGAGAGATGTCCGAACTAAAGGTACTGAGGTCTTAATCGAGCGTGGCAAAAAATGAACTTGTTTGGCTGTTGAGGATGGCTTATGGAGAACATACTCGTCCACAGTCAACTAAGAGTAATTACACCCTATGGCCAAAGAAAAAGTTCATCGTTCGAACCAGAAATTGAAAGCAGAATTACGTTCCTCGGTAAAGAGAAATGACAATGGAAGTATAAGTACACCCCATGGTCTAAAAAAATACATTATTCATTTGACATACTTGCAGTACTGCCTGTGCCCCAAAATGATTATGTTCGCCATTCAAAGGAACCCGCAAGTCCAAAAATGAATATTTTCCTCATTCAAGGGAACCCGCAATTGAAGTACACCCCATGGCCCATAATTGCGTTCCTCGTTCAAGGGAAAACACAACCATACTAAACTTGGAAACAAACAGAAAAGGAATTTACTTGCAAAGACGAATCCTTGTTTCAACTACCGACAACCATGTTATTTGTAGCTGCAGAGCTTCGTGTTGTGCTCATAAATGCAAAATTCACGGTGCTCATGAACTTGACCCACTGAGTTAGGACCACGGTGCCTACAGGGCCAAGGTGGTGCTTCCCTGGCGCCCATGGCAAGGCGCTTGCGCACCTTCCCTCCAACAGGCCCCTTCATTCTCCATACCCCAATGTCCAAAAACAGATGGGATTTGGGGGTCTCACATGTGCAGATCTTCTCGGTAACAAGCCCAAGCATTCTGTTTGCCAAGCATGTTGCCGTGTCTTGCTGATGCAAAGCTTAGGTGTGGTGTTACTAATGTCGATTTAATGCGCAATGAGGGTAAGGCAATTGGTGCCTTGGTGATGCCAGTCCAAGGCATTGCAAGATGGGACAGGACCAAACGCAACATCTGGACTCATGCTGGTTGTGCAACGTGGCTAGTATAATGAGGGTCTAGTTAAATCATGTCGCGAGAGCCCATTCCCTCCTATGGCCATCTACACATCGGAAAAGAAAGCGGCATTGAGCTGGGCACCAAAACGATAGGCATGCAAAACCAGCGAAGCACTACCAAGAAGGGAACAGCTACACTGGCATTATGAGCATAGCGATGTAATGAAGGCATGGCTGGGGCATCAGCCCGTCTACGACGTAGATGAGGCCACCGTATCCGACATAGCCAGCAAGTGCATCCTGACATACGATGCAATTGTATGCACGTGCCAGGTATATCTGGTCAGCATACCATGCAGGCAGCATCACAATGCAAGCAAGCCATGATGCACTGGTCCCGTGCCTCATCCGGAATGGCAATGCCAGTCTCACTGCGCAAGTGTACGCTATGAACAGACCTTATGCATCAGCGCACAGTGCAAAGCCCCAAAAAATCTTCCAAAGTAAGATCTGGCATACGCATGGCCAATTCTCTGGCAGAGATGATTCTGAGATTCTTGCAGCATTTCTCGGACTCGATTGTAAAAGTTCACAAACATCTTCTTGATTGCGACCGACGGGCCATCCTGCTACATGGCCCCGAGAAAAAGCAACGGGCAGAGTAATCGGTGGATCTCCATAGAGCACTTTCTTCAGAAGGACATTCCCTGGTTCAGCCGCCTCGTAGCCACCATGCTTGGGCAAGCGGGATTTGATCCACGCCGGAGGACCTTTTCGTCCTGAAGCTGGGACAGCTGCAGTTGAGTGGTGTGCTCCGAGTGCCGGCCGATCCCAACTCAAATCAAACCGGGAGGCCCCCAGAATATTGGGCACAGCTTGAAGCCAGTGTTTGGCACACGCCTTCGTACTTCATGTAGATCTTGAACCTCTTCTCCTTGCCCGGAAAGGTGCTAGCTTCTGTTCGTGACACAGCCGGAACACCAACTGCCACGTCTCCATGATTCATTGGCTTCAACTTGTCTGAGACCTCGGAAAGAGGATCCCACGGCCTTCACAACGCTGGCAATGCGGGATGCACCAATGTAAAGAAAGATAGGCCCAGCTGATGCAGCAAATGATTCAAATAATGCATAGGATGCGAACAATACAGGCGAATCAGGTGATGCAAATAAATGACGGAACTGATGCAAACGATACAGCTGTGAGACACAGAGGACAAAGAGACAGACAGACAGAGAGACAGAGAGACAAACATACGAACAGACAAACACACGCGCACAAGGAAAGCACAAACACACACAGCAAACCATTTGGCTGTGCTGAACAGTGTGCATGGCGGCACTGCAGCACTTGATGAATCAGTAACACGGCAATGAGAGAACTTACTCTGTCCAAGGACCACAGGTTGCCTTAAAGACAGGAGTAAACACTACAATGCAAAAATGTTGTTTGGTTGAGGGTGTGTTTAGGGATGGCTCAGGAACGCTCTAGGGGGTGCGCTGATTGGGGCAGGTCTTTGGATATTATAGAGGAGGCTCAAACGCTAAAAGACGGAAAGCTTGGAGTATGTCATGAGCTGGGCGAGAAGGGGGTAAATTACAGTGGTTCGAGGCCAGCAGCAAATCGAGATGTGTAAACAACTGCGGAAAAACTACTGCCCTCCCAAGCAATTGGACTGAAACAAATGCGTCCATTGGGACATTGATATTGAGTCACGCGTTGCAGATTCGGCCAATCAAACGAACACTGCTCACAGCAGAGTCCTTGTGTGGCTGGATAAATTTGGGCTTGTGGTCTTCTCTTCTATCCTCCGCTTGTTCTCGCAGCTTCCTCACGTTGCAAGTTGTGATAAGCAACTCCAGACAAGAAACTGGCAAAAAGTCGCGCAGTCTTGCGGCCTGTTCGATGCACGCTGCTGGGCGACGCTGGAGTAGGCGTCAGCGGTAACCCCCTCACATGCGTGATGGTTGCAACAAACCACTTCATTTGGCACACAGAATGTTGCGGCGCCTCGATTTCGGCAATTTCTTCCTTGTCCTCCCCATGAAGGGGCGGCGCCTGCAGCAAATGAAGCAACAAGCCAATCAAGCTTAGCAGAAAGAAAGCACGATCAAGGCACCTTGCAGGTTCTCAATGGCTGGAACCAGGGAGAGTTCATACGACAAATGAGAAGCTCCAACTTGATGCAAAGCGTAGAGGCAGACCAGGTCTGATGTGGACCGAAAGGCATCTCAGCCCGTGGCATCTGCAGCTGCCATGTGGGCCTCAATCAGCTGATAGCTGGTCTGAGCTCGTCGATCTTCGCTTTGAGCGTTGCACGCAGAAATTACCTCAGTCCTATCTACAGCCACAAAGCTCTCGGGCAAATGAGAAAAGTGCGACAAGAAGTCTCATGAATCTTCCGAAGCTGTCAACAGCGCTGATAAAGATCGCAGCCGGACATCCCACATGCGCAAGCAGTTGTGGATGTGTTGGCTTTACCTGTGTCGGCCCGGACGAGAGTGGTCTTCCACAAAGATGGCTGTACAGACACTGCACCACTCAGAACAGACTTCACACAAAGCAGTAGTCTCGGAGCAGGCACGCTTGCCTTTGGCAATCAAAGCCGCTGGGGAGACATGTACACAAAATTTGGCGCCAGGCTTGCGCATCTTGTTTGCGCAAGGGCGCAACTGCGCATGAATCTTGCACGCGGTTTGCCTTTATACATGGCAGCAAAAGCGCTGCAAATTGTACAAATTCTTGAAGGCATCATGCAAACGCGCCTGCAGGCCTCAACAACAGCTCTCTGCAGGCTTTGCCATGCGAAGGGTAGACTGCAGCATGGAAAGGCTCTGAGTCGGCGGCGTCATTCTTTCTCTAAAACACCTTCCTCGCATCAGTGTGACGCTGATGTGCTGAAGAGACGGGCAATCGCAAGGTGAGAACTGGGAGTCTGGATTGGCTCGAGATGTCGGCCTGCCTTGTGCTTCTTCTTTTTCTTGACTTGCCGATCCTGATCGCGTGCAGGGAACCGAGGGCATTCGAGCACCTTCCAGCAGGGTGAACCACATTTCTAGTGCTGGAAGGAATCAACTCGCAACATTCCCTGTCAACAAATTCCTTCAGTAGTCATGACGCGCGTCCTTTTTGACCAAAGCTTGTCAGTCGCTGCTCTGATGGCAGAAGGTGTATCTATTACCGAAAGAATGTGCGCATCTAATACAACACAAATAAAATGAATGCCTTTGCGTGTGTGTGTTTTCTGTTTGCTTGTTTGTTTGTTTGTTTGTTTGTTTGTTTGTTTGTTTTGCTTGTTCGCTTGGCTTCGTTTGCTTGCCTGCTTCCTTGATTGCTTGCTTGCTTGCTCGCTTGCTCGTTTGCTTTCCTGTTTGCATGACGGCTGGCTGATTGCTTGCTTGTTTGCTTGGTTGGCTGCTTGATGAGTTGGTTCATTATTTGACGGCTTCATGGTTCCGTTGAAGGAAACATTGCTTGGTTGCCAACTTGCTTGCTTGCTTGCTTGCTTGCTTGCTCGCTTGTTTGTTGGCTTGCATGCTTGCTTGCGCGTTTGGTTGATTGACTGGTTGCTTGCTTGCTTCCGTTCCTTCCTGCCTGCCTGCCTGCCTGCCTGCCTGCCTGCCTGCCTGCCTGCCTGCCTGCCTGCCTGCCTGCCTGCCTGCCTGCCTGCCTGCCTGCCTGCCTGCTGGCTGGGTGGGTGGGTGGGTGGGTAGGTGGGTGGCTGGCTGCTTTTTTCAATTTTATTTGGCCGGTTTATTTGATCGCTTGTTGGGTGGTTCGTTTTCGCGTTGCTGTTTGGCTGCCCGCTCGCGTGCTTGTTCCCCAGATAGCTGAAAGCTATAGGGCTTCTAACTTCTAATTAAGGAGGGGAAAGTGATTTGCGAAATTGACGGCTGGGTGCTAGGGGGCATGCAGTCTGGGATGCCGGCACAGGTGCTGTTTTGGGATTTGATTTGAGTGCTGTGTTGAAGTGCTGGCGATGGTATGGCCAGGTGCTCTGGGAGTGCTGTTGGGGGGCGCTGCTCAGGGTGATGGCAAGGGGGCATGCAATTTGGGGTACTGGTGCGGGTGCGAGGCTGGGGTCACGGGCGCGTTTTCGCGAGACTGATGGCGGGACGCTAGGGGGCATGCAGCTTGGGACGCTGGGGGCTTGGTGACAGCCAGGTGTGTGTTTTGCGAGATTGGCGGCAAAATGCTAGGGGGCATGCAGTTTGCGGATTCTTGCGCAGGTGCTGTGTTGGGATGCTGCTTTGGGGTGTTGCTTGAGGTGCTAGCGGGGGGGGAAGCAATTTGGGATGCTGGTGCATGTGCTGGTGACGGGCGGACGCATTTTTGCGAGATTGACCGCAGGGCGCCACAGCGGGCTTGCAGTTTGGAGACCGGTGCAGGGGCTGTTTTGGGTTGCTGCTTGAGGTGCTGCTGATTGTGCGGGCACATTTTGGTGCTGGTGACGGTGCAGGCGTATTTTTTCCAGGAGGTGTTGTTTGGGGTGCTGTTCGGGGTGCTGTTGTATGTGCTGGCGACGGTTTGCGAGATCGATGGTGTTCTGCCGCAGGTGCAGTTTTTCGCTCTCTGGGGTCTAGGCTGGTGCAATTGGTTTGTGCGTGTGTCTGGTTGCGCGGTTGCTTGTTTGCTTGCTTGCTTGCTTGCTTGCTTGCTTGCTTGCTTGCTTGTCTGTCTGTCTGTCTGTCTGTCTGTCTGTCTGTCTGTCTGTCTGTTTGTCTGTTTGGTGGCCTGCTGCCTGCCTGCGTGTCTGTTTGCTTGCGTGTCTTCGCTGTCTTGCTTGTTGTTTGCACTTGCTGTTTGTCTCTCTGTCAGTCTGCGTGTTTGCTGTCAAGAGGGGAGATCAAAGGAAGCGCCCGCCGCCATCTCCTGCCAAGCACAGCAAAAAACAATTTCGGCCCGGGACCCACAAGCAAAATGGAAGAACGCGTTTCCCGCGATGTATCTTATGAAAGCATTCAATCAAGAAGGGATGAACCAGCGCGATATGCCACACGATCACTCTACGCCGAGCGGTCCCAAAAGAGCTACGTCACCGTGGTGTTTCCGCACGCCACAAAACGACGATATAGCCACGTCAACTCTGCGTCGACGCTCCCTCGCAGAACTTATGAGAACCTGAACTTACTTGGGAGCAACAATACTATGGAAACTTGTAATGGCAGAGTGATGTAAACAGAGTTGGTCGGACCCTGGGCTTGACTCGGACGCCGCCCAGGACGGTCAGACGGTTGAAGTTCAAACATGCTCGTCACACAATCGTCATGTTCTAACTTTATGACACATGGCAATCCTGCCTTGTGAGTAGTTCGTTCCTGGGCCGGGCGCTCTATTCACAGCTCTGCTAGTTGACTCATGTGGCAGTCCTCCAAGCTCCATCTCGATCTCTGTTTCTTGCGGGGTGCTGCCTGCCACTCCTGACATGACCAAAACGCAGCTGGACATGGCAGCATAGGGTAGGGACCAAAGCAAGGATGCTTACTCATGGGGACGTTTGGCAGCTTGAATGCCAAAGGTCTGGAAAAACTGACAGGAACATGGTCAGAGGTTGGCTAGCTGGCCATGAAATTATAGTAAATACTCGCACCGAACAGCACACTTCAGCCAAGGCGCGTTTGAGTTTGCCCTTAGATTGGCACAGGTACAAAGGATGCTTCAAAGCCACTCACGTTCCGAGGACTGCACTTCACATGCAGAAACTGCTCAGATATTCTTGAAAGTCTGCGAAGCAGTTCCTGCATCAGGGATTTGACGATCCGAAATAAGCGACCCACACATGATCCTGTCTTCCACTAGGCCAATACGGTAGGAACTCAACTATCAGTGTGACCTCGCTGCAGTGTACTTTCACTTGGGGAGACTGGCCCTGTCGCGCCTTCCCAGGCAGCCTGCCAGTCGGGTCAGCTTCCACGATTTCCTGACAAAAATCCGATGCACTCGGCATGGAGCACGAAAGATTTTCTTGGCCCCCCTCCTTTGTTTACTGTTGTTTTCTCAAAAGGACACGCATGTGAGGTCTACCCCCAACCTGTGGCAGAATTCGCGGTGATCATCACTGAAGCAAGTCTGGATGGCAGGGGACGCTCGCTAGATACGCACGTGGTTGTGAGATGCAGATCCGACGATATGCATGAGAAGCAGTAGCACGTAGAAGCGGAAGGACTGCCAAACCAACAATTGGTCAGTATGCTCACGCTGCCCTGTCACCGTTGCAAATGCCACGGCAAGGCCTGCGCCAAATGCCTTCGTAAGTACGTACATATGTGCCGGTTGCAAAAAACATCACATCAAACTGACAAATGCTGGTGACTCTTCCTCCCCACAAACAGCACAGCCCAATTGGTTGTGTGGCCAAGGCAAAAGAAATAAGCCATGAACAACCTGTCACCTCCTGTGGCCGCAAATATGCGAAAGTATCCTATTTGAGTGTCCTCGTTGTCCTCATTGCGATCTTGGTGTTGATGTTGGCTGATCTGGTGACTAATGGCCTTGCAAACAGCTCACTTGCAGGAACTGCTCAAATATTCTTGAAAGTCTGCTGCCCGCAAATGATCCTTTCCTCCACTGCCAGTACGATACAAAGTGTACTCCGACTATAAAACACTGGCCCTCTCGCGCCTTCCCAGGCAGCCTGCCAGTCGGGTCTGCTTCCACGATTTCCTGACAAAAATCCGATGCACTCGGCATGGAGCACGAAATATTTTCTTGGCCCCCCTCCTTTGTTTACTGTTGTTTTCTCAAAAGGACACGCATGTGAGGTCTACCCCCAACCTGTGGCAGAATTCGCGGTGATCATCACTGAAGCAAGTCTGGATGGCAGGGGACGCTCGCTAGATACGCACGTGGTTGTGAGCTGCCGATCCGACAAAATGAATGCGTAGTAGCGGAAGAACTTTCTTCAGTATGCTCACGCCGCCCTTTCACCCGTGCAAATGCCACGGCAAGGCCTGTGCAACTCACGATGTTCCTACGCAAACCTACGTGGATACGTACCTCGCTGCTGGTTGCGAGAAAAATCACATCAAACTGACAAATGCTGGTGAGTCTTCCTCCCTACAAACAGCACAGCCCGATTGGTTGCGTGGCCGAGGTTAAAGCAATGAGCCATGAACAACCTGTCACCTGTCACCTTTTGCGGCCGCCAACATGCGAAAGCATCCTATGTGATCCAAAACATGTGGCCTTGTTGTCCTCATGTCGATCTCGGTGTTGATGTTGGCTGATCTGATGGCTCATGGCCTTGCAAATGGCTCATTTGCAGAAACTGCTCAGATAAAAATTACCGAAAGTCTGCGAAGCAGTTCCTGCATCAAGGATTTGAAGAAATGATCCTGTCCTCCACTGCCAATACGATAGAAGGTCAACCATCAGTGTGGCCTCCCTGCAGTGTACTCCTTTTTTGGAAGACTGGCCCTCTCGCGCCTTCCCAGGCAGCCTGCCAGTCGGGTCTGCTTCCACGATTTCCTGACAAAAATCCGATGCACTCGGCACAAAGCACGAAAGATTTTCTTGGCCCCACGCCTGTGTTTACTTCTGTTTCTTAACGGGACACGTTTGTGAGGCCTACACCGAAAAGGTCTACCCCTAAATACCCTGTGGCAGAAGTCGCGGTGATCATCACTGAAGCAAGTGCTTGATATGCACGTGGTTGTGAGACGACAATATGGATGAGAAGCAGTAGCACGTAGAAGCGGAAGGACTGCCAAACCAACAATTCGTCAGTATGCTCACGCTGCCCTGTCACCCTTGCAAATGCCACGGCAAGGCCTGCGCAACTCACGATGAGCCTACGCAAATGCCTACGTAGATACGTACAAATTGCAAAGAATATCGCATCAAACTGACAAATGCTGGTGAGTCGTTCTATTACAAACAGCACAGCCCGATTGGTTGTGTGGCCGAGGCAAAAGAAATGAGCCATGAACAACCTGTCACCTGTCACCTCCTGCGGCCACCAATATGCGAAATATGTGATCCAAAACATGTGGCCTTGTTGTCCTCATGTCGATCTCGGTGAGGATGTTGGCTGATCTGATGGCTCATGGCCTTGCAGACGGCTCGCTTGCTGAGTGCAAAGGCCATGAAACCCTTGGAACCTGAGGAGGATATGTGATGGTTGGGCAATCGAAAATGCCATTCCTGATGTCCACGGGCGAGGCATTTCCAGCCTTGACACACACTGAACCTCAAAGCACATACACGCAAAGCGGCCCACCTCATAGGGGATTTGCAGAGTCTTCATGTCATCGATGGCTGGATTGCTTACCTCCGCCTCAAATCGTGGGCAAGTCCAACATGCCGAGCTCAAGAACACCTGGCCTGACTCTCAGGATAAGATGACTCTAGAGCTTCTGATTGAACTTCGGAACTTCGCCGGCTACTCCTGCTACTCCTGTCAGGTTGAGCGGGAGCGCCACTTTCAATCTGGACCAGCAAGCCTGTGTCCATAAATCTGGAGATAAGCTTCTTCCAGCACTTCTGTTTGAAGTCCAACATCATGTGTTTCGATTCTATCCTCGGGACAGGAGACAGCCTGTGAGCTGACATTGATCCTTTCGAGCTTCAAGAAGATTCTTTGACCAAGCATGTTTTTGAGGATGTTGTTTTTGCTGTAAATGAGTGAGCACGTAACTTCATGCCGTCCCATCAACACATGCTTGGGGCCCCTTGTAGAAGTAGGAACGCGCCTGAGGAACCACCCCCCGGAACCGCAATCTTCCTGCCGTCACGATTCATTGCCCCTGCCAATCGATTCATAAGGTAGGATAAACATTGTCATACAGTTGGACTTCACATAGAGCCACCTGTGCCACATTATAGGCACATTCAATATGAAGTGATCTACTAGCACATGCGTCAAAGGCATAGCCAGCTTTTCTGGTAATGACGGCATTGTGGTTCTGCCACAAACAGCAGCCTATCATTGGTTTTGGGGCTCGTTTATGTCAACTCGGAGCCCAAAATTCGGCCGCCTGGGCAGCAAATAACCAGAGAGAGAGAGGGAGAGAGAGAGAGAGAGAGAGAGAGAGAGAGAGAGAGAGAGAGAGAGCGAGAGCGAGAGAGAGAGCGAGAGAGAGAGAGAGAGAGAGCGAGAGAGAGAGAGAGAGAGAGAGAGAGAGAGGGAGAGACGACCAACGGCTTTACCGGAGGTCCAAATGATGAGGTGGGTCTACGTAAATAGCATCGTGAATTCTGGAAAAGCAATGTCGGAAAACCCCCACCTTCAGCCTCTCGCAGATTCCTGTCCCTTACAAAAGACAGCTGTACTGAATCAAGCCGCTACAGAGTGATCCACTGGCTCGGGAAGGATCACGCAAGACGACTCATCGTCCACCTTCAAACCAATTTCTTCGCACTCTTCCTTGATTTGCACCCGGGCGCAATACCTGAGATGACAAGGGCAAGCTTCAAGCCCCCCTCTCAATGTGTTTCAACACGTCGACCATATTTTGGACCGCAGTTGAAGGATGCATCTGCGCACAAACCGCAAAAATATTATTCCACCCGCTGCCTCAACTTTCAGAATCATGGTACAAAATAGTTGCAGCTGCGGAGCAATGCAAGTTGTCGGCAAAGAAGCAGCAGTGTGCAAGTCAGTGTTAGTCCCACCACCGGATCACTAGCGGCATGAGGGTCTGGTTGCATTGCCAGGTCAGCAATAATGAGCAATACAATTGGAAGACTGCACTGGAATACAAGTAGTTGCGTGTAGACAGCCATCATGGCCTCAGCTACAAAGCCTAGCATGCCCAAGCCCGTAAATGTGCACAAATCTCATGGTTCAGAATCGGGCTGAGATCCAGGCCGGTTTGTCCTTTGCTGCCCCGGATATTGCGAAATAGATGGGTGGCGACATCAGGCCCTGGCTGGCCAGCTCCAACAGTCAGGCATATCCCAGTATGAACAAACCCTCAAATGAAGCATCGCCAAGCCGCTCTAGATATGATTGCCATAGCGGATACTAGCGAGCTGGTAAGGCATAAGCGCCCACCTCGCAATGCAAGCTTTCTGCAGGTAATGCCGGCAAGCTGAAGTTTGCCTGGGCATCGCTGTAGCATGGCGAACAGGGACATCACAGGAAAAACCTTAAAGCTGCGAGTCCTTTCTGGAACGGCCAAAGTGTGGCTAAGTGTGAAGGATGTACAAGCAACAAGCTGAGCTCGGAACTAGGAACTTGCAGACATTCTCGATCGCGTGCCGAGCTGTGAGGCGTAGCGACTCGGCTTGCATCAGCCTCTGCGGCCGGTAGTCTTCCAGCCACTCTGTCCTGCAGCCACGGGAGCTGGCCCCAATCACAATTATCGCTGTTGGGCGTCCTGTCAGGACCATCGCGGCAGAGCAACAATGGCACAAAAGTCGCTGGCATGAGCAGGGCAAAGAGTGTGCATACCATCGTCCTTAGACTCCATGAAGCAAGGATAGCTTGGCAAACAAGGACTCTGGTGTCAGGTGAAAGCTTCAAGCCGCGAAGCGCATCCAAGCTGCGACAGGCTTGCAAAGTCATGCGTGACCAAATAGAGGGTAACAAGGCAGAACCTGATGCAATCAACAAACTAGGAAATCCCAAACAGCACTGCGACAACTTAGACTCCAGCTTCAAAACAAGTGCAGACATGCAACTCAAGTGAGAGGCATATTCCCAGGAAGAAGTTGGCCAAGGGCGACGCATCCTAGTGTTGGATCGGCTTACAGACCTTGGAGCATGCTATTGAACTTGCATGTCCTGCATCAGCTTGGCGTCCACTGACGCACGCTTCACCTTGGTTGCGGTGCTTTGCTACGTTTCCTGAGGAGCAATCCAAGAGCAAGGTGTCGGCAACGAGAAGTGCGAGAAGGAAGTTGCCATTGCTTATTCACGACAATGATTATCATCCCAGCACGCGGTCACCCTCTGAGGCTGCAACAGGACCAAGAGAGTTGCGTCTGATACGCTCGGTTTGCGCCTTGCAGTCTGCACTGCTTCAGCGCGACATACTGCCCTCTCTTCAAGGCTGAAACAAAAACACTTTTGCATGCTAACAAACAAAGGCGATGAGTTTGCTTGTTCAGGAAACCACCTTGTCATAAAAGAATGACTTCAGGAAGAACGTGTGTGGGAAGAATGTCAACAATTAAATGAACAGTAGCACGAGAGCGGATAGAGGGTTCGGAAACAGCATAGTTTGCCAGGCAGACTGCACGGTGAAAAGGCTTTAGACTTTTATAGCAGCAAATCGGGGGTGGAACAGATGCTTACACACTATCTGAGTTCGCAGAAAAGAATGGCAAAGATGGAAAAGCATGGCTCAAACCAAAGCACGGCAGGAAGTCAGTTGCTCTGCGCAATCCGGAGACTCAGAGGGCGGAACTCAGGGGAGGTCTTCACAGAACTTGAGGCCACAAGGCTACCTACCCGCCAAGCTGAGGCTCGGTCCACGCCGGCGGCATGCACCATGCAGAGTACAGCAAACACGCATCCAACTGCAATGATGGCCGAGTCTGATTGCATACCTTGCGGCATTGGATCCATCTGCACAATCCGCTTGACCAATGGGCCTGCCTGGCCCATATCGGCGAAAGACAATGATCTCCAGCCTCTGCTTGTCGCGAGTGGGGGGGGGTGCTAGCCGCACAACTATGTGATGATGTGCCTGTCCTGGTCGTTGGCTCAAGCACACGCACAACAAAGCTAGCGTCAAACCTCGGGTTCGAGGTGTTGCGAGTGCCAGCTTCCTTCTGTGGAAAAAGGTATTCTCCACGTCACGCATGCAAGCACGCCGGAGAAAGGGGAACCGCGTGCAATTCACCGGGCCTTCTCGAAAGGCCAAGGGTCATTGAGGCCAAGGCATTTCACCGCGCCGCACGGCTATGGAAGAAGTCAGTGCCTGCGGACGTCGGTGCCACATGGCGAGTTAGACCAGCTGATGGATCCTTCATGTGCTCCATGCCATCCACTAAAGCACTGGGAAGGCTCAGCTTGAAGCAGCTAGCCTGCCTGTCCGGGCAGCAAGCGGAAGTTCAACGTGTCGCAACGTGTCAATCACTGCACAAGCATGCGCCTCGCTTTTTGCGACTGCAAAGCCAAAGTTACGATGTCCCCTGTTTGACTCAGGGTCTCTACGAACATTGGAACAGCTGATCTCGGTGCTTGCACCGCAGCATACACGACACTATTTGGCAGCAATGCGCAGGTTCCCATCATGGCTATCAGGCTTGTCAGCAGTTGCCAACGATCATTCTTCTCACATGCTTGTATGGCAGTGCCAAAAGAGATCTGATTTGGAAGAATCCGCAACTCGAGCATGTCAAGCAACGTAAGTAGGGCCATCTGCCACTGGCCGCTCCTTTCACAGGCACTCAAGGCTGCACTGCTGATGATCGTGTTTGGCTGGATAAGAACGTCGGGAAGCGAGGAAAGCGTACCTATTGCCCATCTCCATTTGTGACCCTTGGCCATAGCGGCCAGGCTCGAAGTTCCAAATGCTGGATCCCACGTGGCCGTGTCCGCGTCTGTTCTGAAAGTCCATAGCAATGCGACTTCCCAACTCTCGGCGGCAGAGCAGCAGTCCATAGCAGCGGTCAGCTGTATGCGGCATCGGCGCAAGCCAGCCACCCCCATAAGCGATAGCAAAGAGAGGGCTTGGTCCCACACCCCTTTCTTGCAAGCCTCCACGCAGGATGCATAGGTAGCCCCATCTTGCCTGGCAACGTCAGAACAGCAACGTGGCTCTAAGTTGTGCGAATCTGGCAAGGATACGCCCAAGGACACCCCGCAAGGAAATCCAAAGCCATTCCCGAACTGCCTAAAGGCATCCTCCACGAGACTTCCCAAAATGGACATCGCCCAAGACGCCCTCCGGCGACAATCCCCCGCCAAAGACACGCACGCCCTAAGCACTTTCCACAAGGACATCCGTCCCAAAGATATCTCTCCAAGAAACCTTCCAAAATCACCCCGAAGTCGCCCAAAAATATATCGCCCAAGACAACTGAAGCCGCCCTCGAACGACACCCCCAAAGGCATCCCCCTGAGAATATTCCCTTCACACCCCGAAAGACATCGCGCCACAGCTTCCAAAGACACACCCAAAACCTCAAAGGTCCAACACCGCTACCCCAGAAACATCATCCAAACAAACTGCCCCCAAGAAAAGTTCCCGAAAGGTCTCACCCAAACAACTGCAAACACCAAATAATTGTCCAAGGAAACACCCAAGACAACAGCAAAGACATACCCAGCCAGGACACCTCCCAAACACATCCCCAAAGCCATCCCCAGTCACAAAAAGCTCAGGGAAGTCATCTGCAAAGAGCCGGTTTACACTCCGCAAACTGAGGCAGCGCGTGTGCCACGACAATCACCGCGTAAGCAGCGCGTGCCATGAAAGCGGCGCAATGCATCAATTTGAATCAAAGTGTTCTAGCGCGCGACGCTCCAAAGCGTGGTGTCCCGCCAAACCTGCGCGGAATGCTTCAAAGTTCTGCGCCTGCCATGGAAATCAACACGCGCCCCTCCAAAATACTTCGCCTGCCCAGCAGCTATTTGTGTGCTATGACGTCCAAGCTCTTGCCTGCCACGAAAACCAACCGCGCCCCTCCAAAGCAATGTGCCTGACACACTATCCGAACGCTATGAGCCAAAGTGACGCGCCTGCCACAAATTCAGCGCGCAGCCCTCCAAACTACTGCGCCTACCACGATATCTGCGCTCAGGTTCCAGAAAGCGCTGCGCCAATCACAAAAGTTAGCTTGCGCCGAATCGAAGGACGCTCAAAGAGCTGCGCCCAGGAAATCCACCTGACACGTTTACCATGATCCAAAATTGGAAAGGGACTGTGGCATAGAATGTTCTCGGCCGATTTTGACTAAGCTCACCAGAACGAGCCGATTGCCCTCAAAACAACCGCTGAAGCCCACATCAAATTTCAACGCAAACGCGCATTCACAAACACTGCGCCTGCACAGCACAATGCCACAAGAGCCAAGATTTACGCAAAGGCCAATAAAAACAACATGTTGGGTACATAAGGGGGGGTTTGCCCGGACTTTCAACACTGCCGGGTGGGGGGGGGGGGGTGGTGCTCACAAACATCCTCCCTGGCAATCACCTGTTGTAATGAGGGGTGGGGTGGGGTGGGGTGGGGTGGGGGGTGGGGATGGAGGCACACTTCGTCTGTCGACCCCCGCCCCCAGCTCTCGGCTTCTGCATCTTTGGCTGACCCATCTGGAGACAGCCATGACGAGTCAACATACGCCGCCTTTGGCGGAAGCCCACTGAACAGTGCCGGGTTGGGGGGGTGGGGTGGGGTGGGGTGGGGTGGGGTGGGGTGGGGTGGGGTGGGGTGGGGTGGGGTGGGGTGGGGTGGGGTGGGGTGGGGTGGGGTGGGGTGGGGAAAAAATGTAGAAAAGGCTTGTCCTAGGGGGTGGGGGGTAGATGGTTGCCTGTTCTGTTTTTTATTTCACAATTCAACACGTGTACCACCTTATCCGTTTTTAAAAGGCTGATTTTGGGGGCATGAAATAACGATATGGATGTGGTAACGAATTGATGATTTGGTCCCCTGTCTCGTTCCAGATTTCAACTTTTAGTTTTATTGATTGAAAGAGGATAGGACTTTCTGTGGATTCATGGGTTGGCTTTTGGGCGGTTGTTGTGGTTTGTCATTTAATGAAATGTTTATAGATTAAAAGTTCACTATAATTATAACATATAAGAGTATAAATGATATAATTATGGTTTAGTTATGAATTACACAGGTTCATCAACAATTAGTTTAAACCTTATGTTTTGTACTCCTACAAAATTCATTCTACTTCTTTCATCATCAATACATCTGTATATTGTTTGATGTGCCTCCATCATTACTTCGGATATATTATCTATGGTTATATTATCTACAAAATCATCACTACGAAAATAAAAACTAAAAGTGTTAAAATGGTCGTCTTCATAATTGAAATGATGAAACCTTACAAACATATTTACCTCAACTATTATCACTGCTTCATAACCGTTATCGGTTTCAATGCCATCTAACAAACAATCTAAGTTTTCATTTTCATTAAAAACTATATCTTTGATGCTTTTTATGCTTAAAGGTATATTTCTTGAAATGTAATACTCAATTACGTGTCTCTTTATATCATCGCCATCTTCAACAGTATAGCGCTTTGTCTTTCTTTTTGTTTCTGTTCTGTCTATTTTATATCGTTGTTGTATTCTCTTTAATGTCTTAATATGATTATGTTTTAGTTTCAAATACTCAGGTCTCCCTAACTTATATGAAATGATACCTTTTAATACATCAGCAGGTAAGCTAGCGCAATTCTCAAATATAAAATTCTTCTCTGACATTTTACCCTCACTCATTTTTCTCTTAATATATAAGGTTTTTTCTCTTTAAGTAGTTTTTTTTAATGTTAAGGGGTGGGGGTTATATCGATAAAACAATATTTTCTAACAAATAATATAATGGCGAGATTAACGAAAGACCAAATAATCAGCAACATCTATTATGACTTAGACGAGGGTTTCGGAAGCACACAGGCAACACACAAGAAGGCAAAGGAAGAAGACCCAACGATAACATTAGAAGATGTAAAGTCTTTCTTAAAGAAACAACCAAATAAACAAATCAAAAATTATAGAGGCACAAATTCCTATACCGCTCCCTTCGCACGATATGAATATCAAATAGACATAATGCATATGTCACCTTTAGCTAAAGACAAGAATGTTCCACAGTATGCTTTAGTCGTGATTGACATCTTCAGTAAATTAGCAGATGTAATTCCGATGGAGGAAAGAGACGGAGAGCACGTTCTAAAAGCACTAAGAGCAAGTTTTAAAAAGATGGGTTATCCGATGTCCGTGTATTCTGATGATGATGGAGCATTTGCAACCAAAAACCAAGTTCAGGATTTCTTCAACAGCGAAGGTATCAAACACATAATAACGAAGACACACGCAAATGTAGCCGAACGTTTTATTAGGACAATGAAAAACAAAATTCATGATAGAGCTAGGTTTAACAATATGAAATGGACCGATGCCTTAACACCAGCATTGAAACAGTATAACAGCACATTACACTCGTCAACAAGGATGACACCAACCGAAGCACACAAGGACGACAATGAAATAAATGTAAAGGTCAATCTGAAACTACGAGAAAAGAACAAAAGAAAGTATCCCAGAATACAGGAGAACGATAAGATAAAAGTGTTTCAAAAGAAAAGGGGCAATTACACCGACAGAAAAGAGTATAACTCTAAATGGTCTAATAAGATATTCAATGTTGATAAAATTGAATATGATATTATGGGTAATAAAACTTACAGAGTAGCAGGAATAAACAAACCACTTCTGAGACACGAAATTTTGTTAGTTAATGATTAAACATATTTCTTGGTATCTTCAATATACTTGACTTGGTAGAAATCCAGACTTGATTGTTTAGGTTCTTTAATAACTTTTTCATTAAGTTTTTTAATATATACATTTCGTTTATTCTTGTATTCAGTGCTCTCTCTATCAACTTCTTTTGGTTGGTAATTATTAGTATTATTGTAAGCTGGTTTCTTCATACTTTCTAACAGTTGATAAATGCGTTTATTTTGTTCCATTATTTCATCAATTTTCAAAAATAGTTTATCCACACCTTCCATATATACTATATTATAAAACTAAAGTTTTAAAACTAAATATTTTAATTTCGAAGGTCTCTGTTTCTTAAATGTTTAAATTCTTCGCCTTCTACCATAACTCTAACAATGTTATCTAAATCTTTTTGAGTATGTCCACATACTAACGCTTTGTCCAGATATAAATATTCATAGCTAAGACCAACACTAAGTAATAAACAGTTATATTTTTTAGTTTGAGTACGAGTTAAGACTATTTTACATCCACACTTACAAGTATAATAACTAACACCATTATAATTATTGTCTCCAATTTGCTTGTCTAATTCAAGTGCTCCAAAATGTAAATGT